AATATCAACCTTCGAATAAAAATTATACCAGGTACTTGGTGTAGGCTATGTTCCCATTTTCCTTCTTTTTGGGTTCGACATACCCTTTTCCTATATTCACTATATGTAATCGATAAGTGAATATCACCCTTTTGTGAGCTCTTTTTAAAAATATCGTTTTCGACTGAATTAGATATTTTTAAAAAAGGCTTATAGAAATAAAAGGATTATATTAAATGCATACATTATAAGAATTCACGAATGGGGAAAAAAAAGTGTGTCAATCCCTAATTTTCAAAAAAAAAATCGAATAGGAGGGGGCGCCCCCTTCCCTATAAATGCCTGTGAAATATATAGCTTACCTGTAGCCTACCTACAGGCGCGGATCCAACCCAGTCAAAAGAAAAAGAAAAGTAAAAAAAGGCAAAATCCATTTCCCAAACGTGAAAAACACTTATTTTGTGGTGGTGATGGTGGGGTCCACATTTTCTAGGAGGGGTCCGAAGTCATATTTTATTTGCTTCAGTATCTAGTTTTAATAACTCTGCAAATTCCAGGGGGGGGGGATTCCATACTACCCCCCTCCCTCCGAACCCCCACCCGCTTTAGATCCGTGCATGAATGACCTAAATTGATGTGATGATTTGGCCATGTCTGTCGGCCTGCTTCAGATGGTAGAGCACCTTGACAAGTTGATGCGGGTTCCATATCCAATATCATTGCTATAAATTGCTAAAATATAGGCTAATTTAAAGGAAAATAATTACACAATACACGTATCAGGATATAATGATTTTATCTGACACTTTTTTAGGTTACTAAATCAAAAATTGGTTAAAATGCTTTATCATCAAAAAGACACCGTTATCAATATGATAATAATTTTTTTTTTCTTTCTTTTTTTTTTTTTAAAGTTTATTTCTCACAAGAAAATAGGGCTTACAATTCATTCATTTAATTTCACTGAAAAATCTTTGATAGAAGGACTACCAATTACACACACATCTTTATTTTTATTTAAAAAAGGTAAGTTAATCTATGGTATTTATTTATTTTATGAACCGTGTCAAATCGCACACAACTGAGCATACTTATCATTTTGTGCAAAGAAATGGCAATTGTTGTTTATATAACCAGGTGATTTAAATATTTATCTCTAATCAGGAAGTAAATTTAAGATCTCATTCAAGTCTCGACTAAAATCTCACTGCGACATTCCAAATTAAGTGTATTGACAGAAATATATTTAGAGGACATTTGTGTCAACTTAAGTAAAGGTATGTATGTAGGCAACAATTCTTTTCAGAAAGCATTTGTGAATTTACTCTGTCCTACATTTGCAAGAAATGTGAAACACTGAATCTATGTGTAAATCCATAGAGGCTTGTCTTCCGGATTGTTAAATGTAAAATAAATTAATAAAATTTTGAATCTACTGTAAATACACTTAAAAGTTGTTAAATTAAAGATTCTGACACTTTCAGTCAAGAAAAAACACGTTTAAAAAGACGTACAATACCTTGCAATTGTTCCACTATTAAAAATAATCTACGATATTACTGAAAGAATTTGGTTAGATTTTTTTTTCAGTCAGACTAATGGAACATTGTCTTACTACATATAGTTCAGAATGTAATACTTATTACATGTACAATGTATAAACAGTTTCTATAGGCATGTAAAGAACTTCTAAATGTTGATTTCAGATGGCTTTTTCCAAACCAAAAATTCCAGGCACTGCCCAACACTTTCTAGAGTGTGGTTCTGAAGATTGTGTGAGAAATTGTGAATTTTACTGCAATTCCTGCCATCAACAGATGTGCAAACAATGCAGAGACCAACATTTGAAAAGTAAAAAAAACAAGAACCATGAGGTGGTCCTTTATCAGCACCGCAGAAGACAACTTCCTGTGGAGAAATGCAAGATCCACCCCACCAAAGAAATAGATATTCTCTGCAAAGAATGCAATGTTCCTTTATGTTCAAAGTGTTCAACAATGCAAGAACACCATGGGCATATATTTACAGATTTAGAAACTATTTACACAGATAAGTTTGAACTTTGCCAAAAGGAAATCTCTAAAATCCATAACTATTTTATTCCAACATCACAGGATTTACAGAGAGAAGTTCAGGAAGATGCCACTGAAGTTAAACAGATCATGGACAACATACGGACATCCATGAAGGCTGAAGCCGAGTCTCTCAAAAACATGGTGGACACAGTGCTCTCAGAAAAAATGGAAGAATTACACAAAATAGAGAAGTCATTACTGGAGAAATTAAAGCACCAAGAGAAGACATTTAATGACTATATTGCCTATCTTAGTGATCTTGTTAAAGAGTTCCAGAGTTACCTGTCCTCTACTGAGCTCACTAACGTCACAACTAAACTTCCAGAGAACATAAAAATACAATCCATACCAGAAACCATGAAACCTGTCACACCAGAATTTTCTCCGCCTATTTACAGCAAAAAAGATGTTGCTAAATTACTGGGGAAGATAACTGTAACAGATAGAAAGGGAGAACTAAGAAGTGTAGAGCCAATGGAAATTCCTCCTACTGCTACATCAATGAAATCTACAAGTGAACAAACAAAACAAGACAAACATGTGAAATCTGACAAGAAACAAACATTGTCTCTATCTGCCTCTGTCACCAAGGTCAGGGAGTTCAATGTACCAGGTGTTAATGGTGTATTACATGTATCACTAGATCAATCAGACAGACTCTGGATCAGTGACTTGTATGGTAATCTTGTCCAAACAGATCTACAGGGGAATGTGATACAGAAGATAAAAACCAGTGGTGAGGATCAAGGTTACCACACAGTGACACAGGACGGGGATCTGATCTTTACAGACAAAGACAAGAATGTCATCAATAGGATAAAACAGGATAATAATATCACTGAATTCATTAAAACTGGAGACTGGAGACCACGCAGCATACACTCCTCCCACATCAACGGGGACTTACTGGTGGGGATGATAACAGATGAAGAGGCTAAAGTCACCAGGTACAACAAGACAGGAAAAGAACTACAGAACATACAGAGGGATAACAAAGGACAGGAACTGTATAGTTATCCACACTACATCACAGAAAACATCAATGGAGATATCTGTACATCAGACTATGATATAGAAGCAGTAGTGGTGGTGAATAAATCAGGACAACACAGGTTCTCCTACACAGATCAGGAGTCAGGGTTCTGTCCCTATGGAATCTGTACTGATGTCCTCAGTCACATCCTGGTGTGTGATTATTACAGTAACAGTGTTCACCTCCTTGATCAGGACGGTCAGTTCTTGTCTCTATTACTCACACAACAACAAGAGGTAGAGTGTCCTATTAGTGTATGTGTGGATGATGAGAACAATCTCTATGTGGGACAACTAGGCAACACATTGAGAGTGTACAAGTACATAAATTGATTCTTAATTTGTTTAAAACATACTAGGTATATAGAGTTATTACTCTGAACTGAAAGTTTTAGTTAACTTGTGAACAGAATTAAATTGTTATCCTGCATAATGTTTTCTACATTGATCACTAGATTATTATATAACATATAGAATTTAATGTACTCACGGTTAAATTGACAATATCTGCAAAATTTCAGTCAGAACTCAAAGCTTAGCCCCAGTAAATGATTACTCTAATTAGTTAATAAACAGGATTGTACTGAATTTTGAACTTTTTTTGTACATTTAAAGTAAATAAACTGAGTATTACTGAATCTACTCATTTTGAAACACAACAACATCATTAAGTCAATGTTTCATTTTAATATCTGAACTGCACATTTGGTCTTGAGGTCAGAAATGGACAGCTGACTAGATCTAATGAAAAATTCATTTCCTTCAGGCTTTAATTATGGATAAAAAAAGGAACTAATATGCTAAATACGCTAACTTATACATGTACATGTAGCACTTTGAAAAATACAACTACAAATAAATACATTGTATGTCATATGACCACACAAACAGTATAAATTTGTGGAAATGTACAGAAGAAAAGATAACTACGTCTACATACAAGGATGAGGAATGTGTGGTCCTTAATGCCCATTGTATTACCTATATATTTGTATAATATTCTGAGAAATTCCTGAATAATACCATTATACTTCAACCTTAACACCTACAAACATACAGACAATCGATAAAAAACATAAAAATATTCTTGATAAAGATTTTCTATATAACTTATTTAAATTAAAGAGTAATTACTGAAAAATCCAAAATTGAAAAATGTATATTTACAGATAACTGTATAAGTGTATATCTCAGAAACAAAATATACTCCCCAGTGAAAAATCAGACAAATTCAGCAACACGTGGGATATCTTAATACATTGAATTAATGCACTATCATGTAATATGGTATAGGGGTCTATGTATCAAGTCAAATTCTTTGATTAGCCAATCATTTAAGTAGAGAATTACTGTCAGATCCTACTCCACATACAGATGTATGCTTAATATCATATTAAAGTGATTTCTATGAAAAAAGAATAGTCCACATTGGAAAAGTTAATTTTCATTTAAAAAAATTACAGATAAATTATACAGATGTAAATTTAACATCAACATCACATGCTGGTGCAAGAATGAAAGAAAACGTAAAGTTTACAAGGAATGCTGAACATACTACATAATCAGTTTGTAAAAAGATATATCTAATCTCACACAACCTGTTTTTAACAAATATCAATACATAATGCCTTTTGTTCTTGTAAACAGACCAACAAATTGAGACTTCATTATACAGGAGTACTACATAAGGCACAATAATTCAAAATTTACATCTGCAGAAAATCAAGTCTAACCAAACTGAATACATGTACATTGTAATGATGGCACAATATTCTGAAAAAATTGAAAAGTACACAGACTTTAAAAATAAACTTTTTGTACTTCTTAAATACATGTATTCTTAATAATATCAGAAAATAATTAGTTTATGAAGTGTCTTGGTCATTTTTAACCTGTGATAATACCTCACTTTTTAACTTTCAATGTCATTTTTAAAAATACACAGTAAACAACATGGTCAAACAATAAATATAATAAATATCATAAAAATAAAACAATATACATGGACATGGAATGGATATGTACACAATATTGACAGCACCAACAATTCTGATAGAATAAACCGTAAATACACAACCTCATCATGTAATATCACTACCGCAATAAAAATAGAAGCATAGCATATTATCAGTTAAAAACATTGAATTTATATCAAATATGAAAAAAATTTTTAGAAAACACATATATACTGGCAGTTTATAATGGAATGTGGTGGGATTATGCAGTATAAGAAATATGAAAAAAAAGTCTGATATTAGTGGGCCCACAAAAAAAAAATTCGTTGTAATCTACATAAAGGGAGTTAACTGCAAAGGTGTAATCTACAAAAAGGGAGTTAACAGCAATGTTGTAATCTACATTAAGGGAGTTAACTGCAATGTGTAAATTTAAAATGTTTTCAAAAAGTAATACACCTTGTAAAGAGAAAATACTCAGTTTCCAAACAACAAATCCTGTAGGAATTAGGACACATATGTCAGATGACATGGGGCCCCTTAGAGGGAAACACCAGGATTGTTTGGCAGTGAGGTCCTCTCAGGGGATTTCTACATTGATGCCTTCATCATCAGCTAAAAAAACGTCAGTGTAAATCAATTTAAGTTAAAGTAGGAATAACTACATGTGTGTTTGTAATAGAAGTGTAAAACAGACAAGAGGCCCATGGGCCACAACGCTCACCTGAATAACTTTGGACCTGCTGTTCTTCACCAGAGGATCTTTTTGTAATATGTATTGTGGCCCCGCCCTACCCAGGGGGGTCATGATTTTAACAATTTAAAATCTACACTACCCCAGGATGTTTCCATATAAGTTTCAGCTTTACTGGCCAAGTGGTTCTTGAGGAGAAATTTTTTAAAGATTTTTCCTATATATTTCAATGTAAAACTTGGATTCCCTATTGTGGCCCCGCCCTACCCCCAGGGGTCAAGATTTGAATAATTTAGAATTTACACTGCCCCAGGATGCTTCTACAAAAGTCTAAGCTTTTCTGACCAAGTGGTTCTTGAGAAGATTTTTTTTTTCTATATATTTCAATATAAAAATTGGATTCCCTATTGTGACCGTGGCCTGCCCCCGGGGGTCATGATTTTTTCAATTTAGAATCTACACTACCCAAGGATGCTTCCACATAAGTTTCAGCTTTTCTGGCCCAATGGTTCTTGAGAAGAAGATTTTTAAAGATTTTTTTATGTATTTCAATGTAAAACTTGGATTCCCTATTGTGGCCCCGCCCTTCCCCCAGGGGTCATGATTTTAACAATTTAGAATCTACACTACTCCAGGATGCTTCCACATAAGTTTCAGCTTTTCTAGCCCAGTGGTTCTTGAGAAGAAGATTTTTTTAAAAATTTTCTATGTATTTCAATGTAAAACCTGGATTCCCTATTGTGGCCCTGCCCTGCCCCCAGGGGTCATGATTTTAACAATTTAGAATCTACACTACCCCAGGATGCTTCCACATAAGTTTCAGCTTTTCTGGCCCAATGGTTCTTGAGAAGAAGATTTTTAAAGATTTTTTTTATGTATTTCAATGTAAAACTTGGATTCCCTATTGTGGCCCCACCCTTCCCCCGGGGGTCATGATTTTAACAATTTAGAATCTACACTACCCCAGAATGCTTCCACATAAGTTTCAGCTTTTCTGGCCCAGTGGTTCTTGAGAAGAAGATTTTTTAATGACCCCACCCTATTTTTGTCTTTTCTTGATTATCTCCCCTTGTAAGGGGGTTTGGCCCTTTATTTTAACAATTTAAACTCCCCTTCACCCAAGGATGCTTTGTACCAAATTTGGTTAAAGTTGGCCCAGTGGTTCTTGAGAAGAAGTTGAAAATGTGAAAAGTTTACAGACAGACGGATGGACGACGGACAATGGGTGATCAGAATAGCTCACTTGAGCTTTCAGCTCAGGTGAGCTAAAAATATATAGATGTACATAAAAATGTATTCAATATATTTCTCATAAAAGTAATCAAAGCATTTATATATACATGTAATATAAATTTCTATGTAATAAATTGCTTGTTTTTTGTTTTAATTATACAAAGAAATTGATGTGCGTTCTCTCTTTTAAAGATTGATAAACAGTACAAAAAATTTCCCTTTGTTCCTACCATCAAATGCTGCATTAGCTATTCCTACATTCTGATACACATGTTCCTCTTCCCTGCCCTCTAACACACACAGTAGACACTGGTGTATACACACGTACTGTTGCTGTAGAGGAAATAAAAATAGTTTATAATAACGTATAAAGATTAGTGTACTTCTAAGAAAATTCTGCAACAATCAAGGAAGTACCCTTTAAAACAGTGAGATTCTTTTGTAACAAAACTGCTGGAAATTACCCTCCCCCTGCCCTTTTCCAATTCTATTTTTTTTTTTTGTAAATAAATTAAACAATGGTAGTGACCTGTTTTATATTTGCATAAGTGACATTTTACTATTCCATAGCTAAATTGTATGAATTAACCAAATTTTAAATCTGCTCATACTTAATGTAAGCAAACAATCTGATTACAACATATTTAAATGATGTCAACATATCCAAAAGTAAAATAATTTTTTATTTTGTATTGAATATTACACTGTACAAAGCATTTATGAAATATGTGCATTAACTAAACTACTACAATGTTTTAATTATGGGTATATTGAAGCAAAGTCAGCTTTTCCAGGGCTTTGTTTTAAACATTTGACAGTAAGTAAATTAAGGTATTTCCATCCTCCTGTGATGTCATAGGTTTTTGCAAAAACTGTTATTGATTTAAATTCATACCCAATAGAACAATATCTTTTGGAAGAATGCTTTTCAATAGGTGTAATGATGAATATTGTTAAAAATTATATTTTCTTTATTTAATGAATTATTCAATCTTTAAAAAATGTTGACAAGGGCAATAACTCCTTCTCAGATATCTTCTTTATTGAACTTCTAAGGTAAAATACTTTCCCTGATATTCACAATTCAAAGGTATCTAATAAGTAGCAAGTATTTAGGTACTTTCAGCATCAGAATTATGCATTTGAACCAGTTTTTACATAATTTTTATAATACTGTTTACAAAAAATGTACGATTTTTTTTATGTTGACATATACTTCTGTTTATTTATGTCTCTTAACTTAAATAATATGGCAACCTATACATTTTTTTTAAATAAATGGTAAATTTAAACTATATTAAATGAAAATAAATGCAATTTTTGTACTTTGAGCCATTAAAATTTTGAGGTTGGAAAGACCTTAATTTGTTGAATATAAAGTTTATAATTTGATGTGATTAGAACTCTGGAGTTGAGTGTAGCCCCTGACATACCTCTGTCTGTACCATCCAGACTCGTTCCTTCCTCAGATCGTGTACAATGGAGAAGATGTCAACAGTATCACGCTCTTTAATTTCCTGTAGCAGGCGATCCAACACGATAAAGGTGCCAGATCTTCCAACTCCCGCACTGGAAACAATCATCACAAATAATGGAGGAATTACAAATCCATAAGACCTTACTTTAATTCTTAAATTTCAAAATGCTTTCTCACAGACACTATGTTAAAAGCTTAACTCACCTACAATGAACCAGAATTGGACCACATTCTCTAATCATCTGATCTCTAACAATGCGTACAAACTTAATCAGTGTTGGAGGCTTCTCTGGTACTCCGAAGTCTGGCCAAGCGGTGAAATGAAAGTGCCTGATGGGTCGAGTGACGTTACCCTTTGAAACACCAAAGAAAACATAAATACAGCTGTGGCAGCCAAAAAGTAACAAGATGTTTGTGAAACACTTATGCCCCTCCCCCCCTTTGGACAAATATGTATACCAAATTTCATTTCAGTATGTGCAACCTCTGCAAAGAAAATGAACAGAAACTGCAAATAATTGGAATTTTTCTAAGTCCAAGTGGCATAACTCTGTCAAAAATTGCTTGCCCAAAATAGAAACTGACCTAGATATTCTTATGATAAATCTGTATACCAAATTTCATTTCACTATGTGCAACCTCTGGGAAGAAAATGAAGGGAAACTGTTGGTAGATTGACAGACAGACAGACAGACCGAACGACTGACAGACAGACAGCAGTAAAGCAATATTCCCTCCCTTCTTCAAAGGGGGGCATAAAAATTTTAAAAACAAAATAGCTGTTGAACTTACATAAGCTACCCTCATTTCTGAGATGGTCCAGGATGGGAAACGTGTCTCTGAGAGAACAGCCACTTGTAAATCTCCATAAAACATGGCATCTGAATTAGTAGGCCAGTAGTGATCACATTTCTCCTACAAAACAAACAAGTTACTAGGGCTACATTAAATAGTCATGACCAGTCGCTAATTAAAGCATCTTTCAGCAAACAATGCTTACCCTGCCTTTTTCTGTACAGCGAGTCAACATGACAATATTACGGACGTTTTGCTCCCAGATCATTCTCCAGAAATCATCCCTGGTGGAAGGTAGTGGCCCCTGTGTAACGATGTATTCTCTCTTGGATGTAAATCCCTTCAAGAACAGTTATTATAGATTATTTCAGAATCTACAGTTGTACTTTTCTTTGAGATCTAGATACGCAGTTAACAGGACATTGATAATTCATTTACATTTAGCTGGATATAAATTTCATGATTCAGGCTATATTTTTAATAAAGAGGAAGGATATTTTCCTCTCATGTATAAATTATATATAACACCCATCATACCGGCATGTAGTTAGCATTGATGTAGTCTGATCCTTCTTCATCATCTGTGGGGAGGAGTTTGACACGGGAATGGTCGTAAGGTAAAATATTGGTAAAACGATTCTTCCCCCGATTGACTGGGAGCTCTGCTGCAGAACAGGACTGATCTCTTCCTACTTCCTTCAGATCCTGTCAAATTAATTACAATCTAATTACTTGTGATCTAAACATGGACTTCCATTACAATTATGAGTAAGGGAAGATAACTCTGCTTCATACAAACCTCAACTTGTTCAGCATATTTAAAATTTGAGTCCATATAATTATGAGTAAGGGAAGATAACTCTGCTACATACAAACCTGTATATTGTTCAGCACATTTAAAATTTGAGTCCATACAATTATGAGTAAGGGAAGATAACTCTGCTACATACAAACCTCAAATTGTTCAGCATATTTAAAATCCGAGTCAGCTGACAATGTCTTAATGTACTCCTTGAAGTCTGCCACCTTGAACTCATGACTGCAACAAAGTAAATGAATAAGTTAAAACACTGAAAATTCTTTTCTGTACCTTTTAATCAAAGTACTTTAAAGTAAATGTCCAGTATATTCAAATTCTTTTTATAAAAATATGATTAACATTAACATGTATTTACAGGAACTTGATTATTTCAAAGAGACAATATCTATATTAAACTGAAACATGAAGAAAAATAGATTCATTTGAATGGAAACCTTTTCTTGTGTCGACTGAAGCTTGTTCTGGGAGAATGACCTGGTGGTCCCTCTGGGCTCTTTTTCTGTAACCGACTTCGGAAGAAGAAGATGGCGATGATGAAGACAATGACAAAGACAGAACAGACGACTGCTGCGACGATTGCTCCCACATTGGCTTCATCATCTGCGGCAGGGACTATCCCTACAGCAGCAATAGGTCAACAATTTGATATTTTATAAATTTTTATATTTTAAAACCACTACCCCCTTCTCCTCACTGAAGACTTTAATCCTTCAAACAATGAACAAAACATTTTTTTTTACAATAAATTAACACTCTGCAAAAAACTGGTAACCTTGTGAAAAGATGACTACTGTACTACGTGAAGTTTTACCAGTGGTGACAATGTTTAAAGATGACTACTGTACTATAAGATGTTTTACCAGTGGTGACAATGTTAAAAGATGACTACTGTACTACATGATTTTTTACCAGTGCTGACAATGTTTAAAGATGACTACTGTACTACATGATTTTTTACCAGTGCTGACAATGTTAAAAGATGATCACTGTACTACATGATTTTTTACCAGTGGTGACAATGTTAAAAGATGATCACTGTACTACATGATTTTTTACCAGTGCTGACAATGTTAAAAGATGATTACAGTAATGTAGGAACATATTTTACCAGTGGTGACAATGTGAAAAAGTGACTGACTGAACTACATGATTTTTTACCAGTGGTGACAATGTGAAAAGGTGACTGACTGAACTACATGATTTTTTACCAGTGCTGACAATGTTAAAAGATGACTACTGTACTACATGATTTTCTACCAGTGGTGACAATGATTAAAGATGACTACTGTACTATATGAAATTTTAACCAGTGCTGACAATGTTAAAAGATGACTACTGGACTACATGACTTTTTACCAGTGCTGACAATGTTAAAAGGTGACTGACTGTACTACATGATTTTTTACCTGTGGTGATAGGATCTGAGTAAGCAGTGTCAGCGTATCCCCCCGCTGTGTAAGCCCGCAGTCTGATGTAGTACTTAGTGTTCTGTTTGAGTGGACCATTACAGTACAACACATTATTACAATCTGCCTCCACACCAATCTCAAACACTTTAAAATTCTTCTCCACCACACTCCGCCTGGACCGAGCTCGACCGCAGGAAGACGTCAACTGGAAGAAGTCCGAGCAGTTCCGAATGGTCTGGTAGGCTTTGATGTTGGGGTTGATCTGGGCAGCCTTCCAGTCGGGCAGGGTGCTGGTTTTGATGTGCTCCTCATCAGGGTCTGTGGCTATAATGACTGTGTAGGCCTGTATACTGCCGTACTTATCAGAGAAGGCATTTGTAAAGTTGGCCGTAATGGTGGAGGGGGTCACAGTTTGACCTCCTGAGGTCAGCTGCTTTGGTTTTGTTTGACTCAAGGTCAGGCTGTCTTTGATAGGAGGATCTAAAAATTGCAAATAAGCACTTACTTCTATCTCGCTAGATAACATAATCAAGAATCAATTATAAATCATTCACAGATTCAATAAGGTAGTGTTTTCATGTGTGACTGTGAGTTTGATGTTCATACACCCATATATCTATGCATAAAGACAACACTGGAAATTCTTGGAGGGTCACAGATAAGTTGACTTACTGTAGGTGCGTAGAACAATTTCAAACTTCTCTGGAATATTTTCTATTACAGTTCTAGCTGACACCTGCAACAAAGTTAGTGTTTGTATGATTTCAAAAATATTTAAGTCAAATTTGTAGATGCAGTTACTTCATTTCAATTAAAATTCAAATCACAGAACTTACTTTGAATGTATATTTGAGTCCAGCCTTAAGGTCTGTGAATTTCTCTCTGATAAGCTGAGCAGCCATAAGTTCTGTGGTCACTCCAATGTCCTTCTCACCCTGGTCCATAATGTGCCCCTAAAACAATCACTGAGTCATAACAATGTCTTCTCTAGTATAGCATCTCTGTACAATCCTAATTAACATAATTATGTATTAAAACAGTCAAACAAACTTTCTAAGACATAATCACTCACAAACTCATCCTCTGCAGTGTATGCTATGTGATAAGAACGGATGATTCCATTAGGATTTCTAGGGGGTGACCAGCTCACATTTACAGTCCTGGGTGAAATCTCAACCACATTCAAGTTCTGAACAGCAGAGGGTGCTAAAATAGACACAAGTTGAATTGATTTCAAACTTTCAAAGCACAGGAATATAAATTTTCACTAACAAGTACTATACATCAAAAGACATAAAACAAGAGGCCCAAGGGCCTTAACGGTCACCTGAGTATAATGTAACAATCCATAGATAAAAACAGAATAAGCAGATAAATAAAGTTATGTTGCCCAAAAAGCAAGAGAAATAGGATAATCAGGGATCAGGAAAATATCAATTTAGAACTCAATAACAAACCTTAAAAGTTGATCTATTTATTTGAATGTACTTTCCCCCATTTGTCACCATCCTCATGCGGACTTGACAAAACACTATCAGTTAACACATTTCATTCCCTTCACGTTGGCTTCTCTCGCTCTTTAAAGATTATTTATTGTACAAAAATATGGAATTTTTGTACCATTTTCATTTATCTATTGTTTAACACTTTTTCTGACCATTAAAATCTATGAAAGTACTTTTGTATTAAATACTTTGGAAATTTCTGTTCTTTAATTGATCTTTTAAGTTACATTATTTACAGTGATTAACTATTATAGGTGGATAGCAAAGGGGAATAACTTCTTCCGGTAGAAATTAATAAATTGACCAAAAGGTACAGAATTTCAACATTTGATAAAAACATCCCTGCTTATTAAAACTTTTTATACTCTTCTTACCTCCTAGATGTCCAGGAGCAGAGAAGAAGATATTCAAGGAAATAATCCATTTTCACTATAGATTCAATATAGCCCCACTCTAAAACCAAAGCCCCTGACCCAAGGGCAATGATAATCACGACACCATTTCCACAGAGCTGCCCTTGCTCATCATAACTACATGTATATACTTGGTTTATCTGCTAAATACCCAGGGACAGAGAAGTAGATTTCAAAGAAATAATGCACTTTCACTATATAATCAATAGAGCCCCACCCTAACACAAGAACCCCTGACCCAGGGGTCATGAAATTCACAAATTCAGGGGTCATGAAATTCACAAATTTGAAAAAAGAATCAATGCTTATCATAACCAAGCACTTAGTTTGTTTAAATAATACCTAGGAGCTGAGAAGAAGATTTTCAAAGAATTAATGCATTTTCACTAGTACATGTATATAATCAATAGAGCCCTGCCCTTACACCAGAACCCTTGACCCAGGGTTCATGAAATTCACAATTTGGAGAAGGCATCAATGCTTATCATAACCATGCACTTAGTTTGTTTAAACAATACGCAGAAGCAGAGAAGAGGATTTTCAAAGAATCAATGCACATTGACTATATAATCAATAGAGCCTCATCCTAACACCAGAATCCCTGACCCAAGGGTCATGAAATTCACAATTTTGGAAAAAGAATCAATGCTTATCATAACCATGCACTTAGTTTGTTTAAGTAATACCCAGGAGAAGAGAAGAAGATTTTCAATGAATTAATGAATTTTCACTAAATGATCTATCTAGCCCCACCCTAGCACCAGAACCCCTGACCCTGCGGCCATGAATTTCATAATTTTGGTAGAGGGCCAAATGCTTATTACAATCTTGCCAACAGTTTGACTGCTTGATGTCCAGGAGTAAAGAAGAAGATTTTTAAAGATTGCATCAATTTGGTGATTTTAGCCCCACCCTTGGGGCCCTAGAGGGACAGGGACTATGAAATTCACAATTTTTGTTCCCCTTCACCCAAAGATGCTATATGCCAAATTGGATGAAATTGGTTTAGTGGTTCTAGAGAAGTTGAAAATGTTCAAAAGTTAACACACGATGGATGGATAGCAATAGGTCACCTGAGTGACTCAGGTGACCTAAAAATTTGTCAATTTCTGAATCAATCATATCCATTTCACCTTGACTTTCAACTAATAGAATTAAAGATTGGCATTGAAATCTGTAATCTGATTGGCTGACCTGATTCTTCTGTCCTGGAGGAGATAAAGAGGGAGCTGTGTTTATACCCAGCAATGGCTTCAATTTCAAACTGATAATCTGTGTATGGATTTAGGGGACCGAACTCTAGCACAACTGTTGTCTGGTTTGCTAGTCTTGTTTGGGATCCACAACTTTTAGAACACGTTACACGGTACGAATCAACATTTCCATTTGGTTTATGGATGGTCAACTTAATATAGTTAGCTGACTTCTCTCTACCAACATATGGTAGCTCAGGCACTGAAAAATGAAAAAAAAAATACACATAAATAAATTGATTGAAATGAACATTCTATTTAGTGATAAATAAAACTGATAGCAAAGACGACTTACCAGTACGTATCTGTATAAAAGTGGGAGGACTAGACTGGTCCCCACTGACAGCAGTCACTTTGATACTGTACTGGGTCCCTCCCTCTAGACCTGAGAACACCACACTGCGATCTGTGTCAGTTCTGTTCTTCTTCACTATTGATGACGTGGCCACCAGTTCAAACACATAATACTCAAAGTAGTTGTCAGTGTCAGTGTACAAGACTGAGATGTTTTTACTTCCAACATTTCCCTCAGACAAAACTGTCTTTATTTCTGGCTCTGAAATAAGAGTATACTATTAAGTAAAAGTAATTCTATTGCCTCAATGAAATTTTATGTAAAGACATATTATGCTAATTCACATATCAATGACTTTCAAATCAAGAGAAATGTTTAAAGGGTGAATTGAATGAAATATAGGTTGATGCATTTTATTTTTTATATTACTTACGGACAGAGACATTCAAATTCACAGACTTGGAGACAGAATTTTGCACAATACTGTAGATAGTGATATTATAGGTGTGTCCAGAAGTAAGTCCAGTAATATTGTATCTAACAGTGTTGTTTGATGAGTTGGCCTGGATATTAACTGTGTTAGACACACTGTCTATCAGACTGGTGTAAGTGAGATTCCAGCTCTCTATGTAGGTTGTGTTACTGTTGTACGTCCACTTGAGAGAAAGGCTGTTACTGGTGACAGATGTTACTTCTAAACTGCTAGGAGGTAGAGGAGCTGAAACATGAATCTTATATATTAATTCTTGTTTACTATTTTACATGCATTAAAGACATATACAAAGGCAACCCCAAGAAATCAGTATAATTTTGGATGCATGGATTGTACAGAAATTGAGATTTCACAGAATCATGACCCCATGGTAAAAAGTACGTTTAAAGGATATCTACCTTTTACATATGTACTTACGCATTAGTGCAGACACAACTGAGGGCGGACTCATCTCAGAATGGCTGACAGCAAACACTACCATCTCATACAAGAGTCCAGGGAACAAGGAAGAGAGAACGATTTGTGTATTGTCACTGATGTTTTTCTTCCATTGACTGTAGTCACCATGGAGACGGGCCCGGTACCAGACAAAGTAACTATCCTGTATGCTGTCGTTGCCTGGCAACCATGTCAGGGTGATGTCATTATGGGACGAGGTGTATGTCAAATTCATTACCTTGTTGGGTTCTATAATACCAAACATAACAGATCATTAATACTTTGTACATGTACTGGAATTCTTTCCTCTTTTCTTAAATTTCTTACACAATTATGGCACTACATTAAAATTTCCAAGCGTCCCCTTACTTGTAGTCTTGTTGACACTCTGCCAGGAGCTGTAGGCTACAAGGGAGCCGTTCCCTGCATCCAAGACCTGTTTAGCCTGAACGTACACAGAGTAGTGGTGACCAGGTCTCAGATTTAGGATGTGTGTCTCGTACTTAAATTTATCATGGAGAGCAAGAACCATGGGTAGAGATGTATTACCACTGTCTAACCAGTCATGGTACTGAAGCTTCAAGTACAAAAATTAGATTGTAAAGCATCGGCATTAGAAAATTTATTGTAAAAGAATTCTTTCATATGTACATGTAATCTTTATGCAGAATGAGAATTCATGTAACTATAACTTATCATAAAGCTGAAGAAGCCATTTCTGATAATTGAGAAATTCACATATTCATTCTATCATAAAATCATATACAGTGGAGCCTCATTTATCCGGACGCTTTGGTTCCCAGTCAATTTGTCCGGATATGTGAAGCGTCTGGATACCTGAATTGCGCTGATTTTAGTTATATGGCCTTTCGTATCATTGACAATAGTGAAGAATGCTGCTTTATATCAATATGTTTTATTGTTTAAATACTTTAATATAAGTTTAGTACTACTCAATACTTGTTTAAATAAATAAAAAAGTACATGTGCCAATGGAAAAAAACGTGTTTATATGGTCACATTATAATTAATTATTTTTACTTCCCTGTGTCTATTGAATCGACTTCTCCTAATAGCCATGTCGGTACTGTCGGTAGAGTCTTATTTAATATGAATGCCCATCAATGCTAAATGCAACGTAATCTGCACATGTATACGAACGCTAATCGTAATCATCCAAAGCGAGATCGTATTTAACGATTGTGTAATTTTGAAAGTTATTTTATACATGTCATCAAATCATAGAATGCGTTTACTGTGCATAAAAAACTCCGATGTCATGTCCATAAATACATAAAATATTGTTACGACTGTATTCTTACAGTAAAAGAAATATATTTGCCGACTACGAAAAAATTATCCTAGACTTATAAAATTATTTCCCTTAATTAATACGTATCAAAACCATGTTAGAGAAGCGAGAGTCTCGTGCGTACCTCTCGACCTACAATTAACCTTGCCGCAAACCATTGATAACAGGTCGCAGGTGATCATCTTTTAAACAAACAACCAGACCAGTGTTTTTACAACAATTAACACCCAGATCAAGAAATTTGAGCAGACTTGACAGACAAATTAAAAAATTATCGTCCGGATAAATGAACCAAAATATAACGTAAAAATTCATTTCGTGGTGAAAAAAGACCGTCCGGATACGGAACGCGGAATTCCGGTTAAACGAGACAAATAACGTTAAGAAATTTCGTTCCCATGAAAAATCGTCCGGAAACTGAAGCATCCGGATATCTGGCGTCCGGATATCTGAAGGTCCACTGTAGATAGTTTACTCCTTACAATGAAGTGATGTTGTTGTCTGGGGTCAACTGTTCTCCACTCCACATTGAGAGTGTGGGGGTCACCAGAGGTCACATTCAAATCTTCTACAGGCATTGGTTCTAAAAATATAAGAAGTGGAGGAGGGGTGGAGGAATATATTAAAAGTACAAGACATGGAGATGAAGCAGTTTGTAAAATTAAGATTATAACTCCACTTTATATGTTTTCAGATATTTTTTGCGTTACCTGTGATAACATGAACACTGGCCTGGTCACTCTGGATGCCCTTGTTGACCGTGGTGATGGAAATCTTGTACAGCTGACCAGGGGTCAGGTTAGTGAAGGTGTACTGTAAAATGTCACTGGATCTGGGAAAGATAAAGACATTACACTCTTTATATAATTTGTTATAGTTGTACGAAGCAACAAGTACATATATGTGCCAAAAATTCAAATTTATCCTTGAATACCAAGAAAATACACTCAATGAAACCACTATGGTATACTCACTCTGGGATGGAAATGGGAGACTGTGCATGAGGGGGGTCTATAGCAATCTGGAAGGTATCAAATGTACTACCATTAGGTCTGGGCCAGGAAATATTAACTGTGTTAGTTCCTACGTGATCCACATACAACTCAGCCACAGAGCTGGGGTCTGAAAAACCAATTTTAAAAAACACTTTACTGAAGCTCTGTAAAATACAAATGAAGTGACAGGTAACTTTACATGGATTTATCTTTTAGTCCCATTACCTTAATTCCTCCTTGGTGCAGTCTGCGGTCATTTATGTAAACTTTGATCTGAAAGTACTTATTTGTCAGCTGACTGGGTGACCTATGAATCTACCCAGTAATCATGTGACTTTGATCTGAAATTAAAATACTTACTTTCCACAGCTGACTGGGTAACCTCTGAATGTAAACATGTGACATTGATCAGACACTACTTACTTGTCATGGCTGACTGGGTAACCTCTGAACTCATCATGTTGGCTACGTGTGACCTGATATGGACTGTGTAGGTCTCCCCGGGGTGTAGGGAGGTAAACCTGTGGTAACTTATGTATACTCTCTCTGTTACATTTATTGGGTGGGTGTGGTCTGCTGTCAGGTACAGAGTATAGTAATCCACAATTCCATTGGATGGTGGTGACCAATCAACATCCAGTTCTCTGCCGCTGATAGGAGTTATGTTCACCATCTCTGGTGGATTTGGAACTATTTTTGGAGAAAAAGATTTACATTTATTAGGGTTGCAAAACTGGTCTAATCTTGAAAGTGGTTACACTGTCCTTTTTTTATCAACTACATATCCATTGCTCTACTTAAATAAAAAGAAGACTAAAATATGTCTGCTGTACAGATGCAAGTAAATTAAGACCTGATGCAGCATCATTTAATTTGTTTGCATGTATCTTTATTTAGATAAACTGTATACACAATTAATGATTACTGATTTTTTTCCAACCCTGATAATTTCAATAGAACCTTCTGACAAGTACGGCCATCATTAAAAATATCTTTGTTTCCCCTAACCCGACCCTAAAATTTCAAGTTGAGTAGGTAGGTAGGTAAATTTTTTTTTTTCTGACAGCAGTTTTGAAAATACATTCTGAAAATTGAATAATATCTGTATAAATAAGAAAGAACAATTTGTTTTAAACCGAATATCATACAAATGAAATTTAACATGTATGGTAAATTAATTCACAATATTATTCATTTGAACTTAAGGTAGTATGGGATACCTCTACGTTATGACGTATTTCCGTTTGAAGTATTGTTTTGATTTGCATGAGTGCTTATTATCGGGTCAAAATTTGTAGATACACTGTTGAAAAGAACACTCTGAAGCCTATTTCAATGCAAGTTCTCACAAGTCGGCATTTTAAGTAAAAACAGACAAAAAAATCGCAAGTATATAAATTTACTTATAATTGTACAACGGACATTTAAAAAAGCAAACCCCTGTAAAAGGTAGTTTCAACATTGCTGCTTTTGAACACTTTTAAGCAAAAGCTGTATTTCAATTGTTTGAGTAACTGTACAGCACCTTGTGTGCAGTGAGGCATGGATAAGTGCGATTACTTCACATTGTGCTGAATTATCACCAATCAATTATCACGTTAACCAGAGCTGGACTTTTTTGTTATTTAATTCAAGAAGTAACTGTTTGGTCACAAATCAGCTAGCTGTTGTATATAGTCCCAAAACGTTCAGATGAATGCAATTGCTCTGAACAAGACACGTCCTGGAAAGCGATTGTCCATGCATTGTTTTCAAAACCGCTCAAAGTTGAAAACTACAAAGTGCGACTTTTTTATGGTTGGGAAAAAATGCTCATCATTTCTAGAACAGCACCCAGGTTTTTTCAACCCTTGGAAAATAAAGAAGGATAACTCTTCCGCTCGGATCTTTTAATTCAAAAAATTTTATATGCATTTTATATTTTCTATTTATATATATATTTTCAATTTGTTTATTTCACTTTGCTAACATATTAAGATACATTCTTATTGTAGACTTTCATGAAATGTTATCCGTCTGTTTTCAAGAAATAAAGTTTTCCCAGTTTTTTACGCTTATTTTTTGTTGAAAATTAAAAAAATACTAAGACATATTTCTTGTCATTTTTGTTTTTATAAACACTTTATATTAGCAAACGCCTGCCTATAATATTAAGCTTATGAAAAAAGAATTATGCAAGAAAAAAATTCGTTTTTTTATTTCTCATTAAAATAATAAAAAAATTATTAAAATTACACTTTAATATACTGAAAGGTGGGGGTATTTCAAATCCTTCTAATTTGGGTACATAAATATGTAGGAGAAGTTTCGTTTGGTATCCCATACCACCTTAATTTTAAATTTAGTGAAATTGAATTTTTACAAAAAGACAAGATTCGCAAATACTCAACCATCAGCCATCCGAGTTTATTTTTTTAAACCTACTATCATCTTCGAGTGCTTACACAGATAAAATGTGAAGGGCCTCGCGTGGCGCAGTAATTTTAGTGTTTTGTTTTGGAGTCACGACGTAATTCAGGAGCTTATTCTAAGTCACAGGTCCCAACGTGGGGCGTGGAAACTGGTCAGTCAAATGAGACCGTAAAAACGTAGGGCCATGCAGTGTCACAGTATACATGTAGATGTAGGCACGATATAGATCCCTTACTGATGCTTTACATGTATGATCAATGGCCATAAGTGCCGAGAAAAAGTCTAAATTAGGAGCCCTCCACCAGGCAGGTGTTCAAATGTTGTCGACCCAGCAATTTTTAAAGGTATTTTAAAGCAAAGAAACAACCTATTTTCAAGGGCCCAACTAAAGGAAAGAAAATTACACTGGACGTCTCAGAAAGCCGTACCATAAGCCAACTTAAAAGATTTCAACACTATTTGAAAAGAGAGTACCTGTATAAACAATATTTAATTCAACCAAACCATATCTAAAATAATTAAAGTTTCATATATCTAATGTTATAGTCACTAAGTTTACCCCATAAATAAAAGGAATGAAGGAACGACATCCAAATTATATTTATCAAGATGAAATAATTATACAAAGATATATTTACAAATCCTATGGTCCTATATAGTAAAAATAGAATCATACATGAAGTGTTTTTTTTTTTATCAAAACGAATGAAATGCAGTGAAATTTATTGATATGCATACACAAAGTGGGCCCCTCATCTGCTCATGAGGCAGGCTTTGTCATGCTTACATGTACTACGTACGTTAATTTTAGAAGACAATTTGTAAATACCATCTTAACACTTCTTAGTCATGGTATATTTAATTTACGAAATGTTTCAAGAGAGTGTAGGATTCTAATAAGTTAAAGAGATGTATATTAAGATTGATACATCGCCGTTGTTTTATAACACTAAATAACCTTCTGGTCACATGTTGTGGGCGCCAAATGAGAGTAAAACAAAAGCCTTCATTCTGATAAGAAACGAATTTTGATGAAATTGCATTTTATGAAGTTGATAAACAATAAAAATAAATATTTGAATAATCCTATTAAAAAAACTTTGCAGTCGGCACGATTTAAGTGGGTCGGTCACTTTAGGGGAAACAAACCTATTTTTTATTTTGGCCTACCCTTGTTTTTAAATATGAGGGTTGTCCCAGAAAAATGCGAACTTTTTAAATATTTCACAAACTACCTGACCAAAATTATTCATTTTTGGCACAATGTTGGTAAATGATATTTTTGTCATTTTGACCAAATACTATAAGGTTGGAATGTCATATGCATTTAGAAACAGCATTTAAAGGGTGTTAAATATCAGTGGTTGGCGCACGGCAATTTCTTGACTTTCAAAATTAGCATTGCCATCTATGTCTTACTTTATTACAAGTCAGACTATACAGAAATATAATGTGACAAAAATTACATCCATAGAAACTGTACAATCTGGAGTACTTGTAAAAAATTAATACCTTAACATCATAAATAACAAAAATATGACGTTATATGACCGTTAGTTAGTTACTGTCAAAAACGGCAACATTGGGCAATAATGTGGCACACTAAATTATTAGTAATACTTAGTATTGTGTGGAGCAGGGTATGACTCCTGTTTATATGGGAAAAGAGCTAGAATGAAGGAACAAAAAATTAAAATACATGTATCCAACACTCGTTTATACATAGTAAAAGAAGTTCAAAGATGGATGGACTGGTTATCCGATGGAAGAAGCGTTTGGTAGACCAACAACAATGATGACAAGTAGAAAAGTCTATCTAGAGCTGGACGTCATACGTGGAGACTGCCGTTAACTATGCCAGCAGTTAAGTTTATGGTCGGGTTGGGAAATTTTCTTTTAAAAGAACTAATTCCTTGATTTATTCCTAATTATAGTATGTGTGAAATGGATAACTCGGTAACTAAAAGAGAATCAAATGCAGTATCAAATTTCTGCTTTGAACAAATTTTTAAGGACGCATGATTCCTGAACAAATTCAAAAACACCACGAGCTATGTTTTGACGTCGTCGGAGTTGCACTGGGAGCTATTTTGAATGATTCGTTAGATTCGTGAGAGAAAAATGTTATTTATAGAGATAATTTCTGTAAATTATTTAAAAATGTTGATTATGGAGCATGCCAATTTTTAACTTTATAATATAAGTGAAACAAAAAATATTCACGTTTTTCTGGGACAACCCTCGTAAATATTACTTTTTTGTTTTCTATGTAACTGCATCCAAAACTTTCAATTACTTCACTGCTTGGTTGTTAAATCGTATGTTTTGGGGATCAGATTTGTACTTACCTGTGAGTAATTCTGCTGTGATCTGGGGACTTAGCTTTTTCTGTTTGGCAGCTCGGACAGCTACAGTGTAATTCTTCCCAGGGACAAGGTTATTGAAGGTCACTTGTCTGATCTGAAGGTTAGCTTGCTCGCTGCAAAGATAAAACACTTTGCATTCACATAAACCACTGAGGAAGAAAGTCCATCTCTAAGTTAATATCCTGCATGTGGCATTTACTAACCTATATACCAAGTAGTTTTCATTTACAAAATTTTCCACAATAAAAAGTATGCACAGAGGTACATGTGCACACAAATACATTGTATAAGCATATCAAACATTGGCTGATTAAAGTCCATTCTGCAATTCAGTCTAGATATTACATACAAAGGAAATTAGTTTATAGAGCATTGCTTAAATATTTTTACATGTATTCAGTCTTATTCCATAAATGTAATTTTTTTTAGCATTTTAACTGTCAGAGATAGCATACACTGGAGACTGTGTGTTGGTTTCCCTGGGAGATATACTACACTGATAATAATCCAGGCCTCCAGAGGTCACTGGCATCCAGGTCAAGGTCACACTGGAGTTGGTGACCTCTTTTATCTGCAAATGTTCAGGACTGTTAGGGTCTGAAATCAAGGGGAAAGAACAATTATTATTTTTATAAAGGGAGACATATTTCATTTAATACAAGAGTGCAAGTAAATGTAAAACAAACTGCCCACAATCAAAACCGTGAAAAAATATCGCCAACAAAAATTTATAACTGCATACATGTAACAAATTCTGTAGAATATATGTCACTTTCTTCCCAGATTGTTCTAGTTGTAACAGAGAAGTTATACAAGGTGCCGGCTGTAAGATTCCACAGGAATATGTCCGTCTCGTCATGACTTAGTGAGATGTTTTGATCAAACAGCAGCTCAGATCCATTCTCCTTGAACACCTCTATGTTGTATAGGTTGAAGTAAGAGTAAGTAGGGGGGAGGATCAAAAGGTGTAGATGAGAGGTGGAGCTGGAGTTGTCCAACAGACCCAGGACTGTCTGAGGCTCTGCAATTAGTCATAACATGTAGTTGAAAACAGTAATACAAAGCAATACAATCCAGATTCCAGCTGCACAAAACACCTGCTGATATTTATTTTCCAGCTAACACTTTGTTAAAAACTTCATGAAAATTTTAAGTAGCAAGCCTACATGTTACTCAGTCCAAAACAAACTTTCAAAAAAAAAGAGTTGAATCTTACTTGTGGAGTGAAATGTGCTGTGAGGGGCACTCTGTCTCAGTCCTTTGGTGGTGTAGGCTTGGATCAGAAACTTCTGACCGGGAATCCCCGGGACATCCACCAGACAGAGGTGGATCAACATTCTACAGGTGAGCTTCTCTGTCTGCGGGGCATTGTTAGCGTCATTGTAAGTGGCAGTCAGGAAAATGCCATCCTGTAAAATAATGAAATATTGAGAGACATGTAATGATGACAGTCCTTATGGTCATTAAAGTACTCTTTATATTATAAATTATATATTTCAAATAGGGATGTCAGATCGCTCAATATTTGATAATCGGTTAATGTTACTTGGAGGATTTTCCAATGCAGTACCTGGGTACTCGGTAATATTATATAAATACAAGTGTGTTAATTTTCTTGAGCCCAGTTAAGCCCTGTTACACCCCTAAGATGTTTTTCTATTATGTTTATAATGCATGTATCTTGTATATAAACATTAAGTCCAATGAAAACAATTTTTTGGTACTAAATTTATTCATCAAACAAGAGGCCCAAGGGCCTTAACGGTCACCTGAGTATAATACAACAATTTAGAGAATCCATAGAGTATAAAATGAACTGAAAAGTGAAGCTTTGTTGCCCAAAAGCAAGAAAAATAGGGTGATCAGGTTCAACAAAATAATTAGTCTAGTGTTCATTAACAGTTCATAAATTAGGTTCTAATCTGTTCCCCATTTATCACTATCACCATACAGTATATTAACAAACTATCAATGCTTCTGTACTATTTTAATCCTTTGTTGAAATCTCTTACATTGGACTCTCTTGGTCTTTGATGAACATTGAATAAGACAAGTTATTTTTGTCTCATTTTTATTTATCTATTACTTACAAGTCTACCTGATCATTAAAACTATGAAAGTACTTTTTGTATTATACAATAAAATATCTTGCAAAATTCTCTTATTCTATTAACCTTTCAAGTACATTATTTACAGTGACTAATTATCAAAAGTAAATGGCAAAGGGGAATAACTCCCCTCAGTAGAATACAAATTAATAGAGCCCTGGCCAGGACCAGATCACTTGACAAAATGGCCCAGATGTTCAAAAATATTTATTAAAACTTTTACTCTTTTTGCCTCTGATATGCCCAGGTGCAGAGAAGATTTTCAAAGAAATAAAATAAATGCAGTTTTTACTACAGATTCACTACATTATCAATAGAGCCCCCCAGCCCCCCCCCCCCCACCTCCCATCCCCACCGAGAAACACCAGAGTCTCTCACCCTGGGACCAGAAGTTTATTCATCATACATGTAAGTAATCACTTTGTTTATCTGATTAACACGAAGGAGCAGACAGGATTATTTAACAGAATTAATGCATTTTCACTACATTATCAAGAGCCCCACCCTTACACCAGCACATCTGACCCAGGGGTCATGCAATTCACTACTCTGGAAGAAGTAATCATGCTCATCATAACTATACACTTAGCTTCTTTGCTTTTTAACCAGAAGCAGAAAAGAATATTTTCAGAGAAATTTTGCTTTTCACTATATAATCAATAGAGCCCCCCCCCCCTTTTCACCAGAACCCTTGACCCTGGGGCCATGAAATTCACAATTTTGGAAGGGGCATACTTGCGTATCATAACAATGTACTAATAGTTTGTTTAAATAATACCCAGGCGCAGAGAAGAAGATTTTTAAAGAAATAATTCACCTTCACTATAGGATATATATGGCCCCGCCCTAGCACCAGAACCCCTGATCCAGGGTCCATGAAATTCACAATTTTGGAAGAGGCATCCTTGCTTATCATAACTATGTATTTAATTTGTTTAAATAATACCCAGGAGTAGAGAAGATTTTTAAAGCATTAATGCATTTTCACTATATGATTTATATAGCCCAGCCCTAGCACCAGAACTCTTGACCCTGGGGCCATGAATTTCACAATTTTGGTAGAGTCACCCTTGCTTATCATAACTATGTATTCAATTTGTTTCAATAATACCCAGGAGTAGAGAAGAAGATTTTCAAAGAAACAATGCACTTTCACTTTATGATTTATATAGCCCCGCCCTAACACCAGAACCCCTGACCCTGGGGCCATGAATTTCACAATTTTGGTAAAGTCACTCTTGCTTATCATAAATATGTATTCAATTCTGTTCAATAATACCCAGGGGTAGAGAAGAAGATTTTCAAAGAAATAATGCACTTTCACTATATGTTCTATATAGCCCCGCCCTAGCACCAGAACCCCTGACCCTGGGGCCATGAATTTCACAATTTTGGTAGAGGGCTCAATGCTTATTACAATCATGTCAACAGTTTGACTGCTTGATGTCCAGGAGTAAAGAAGAAGATTTTTAAAGATTGCATTAATTTTGGTGGTTTTAGCCCCACCCCTCAGGCCCCAGGGGGGCAGGGACCATGAAATTCACAATTTTTGTCCCCCTTCACCCATAGATGCTATATGCCAAAATTGGCTGAAATTGGTTGAGCGGTTTCAGAGAAGAAGCTGAAAATGTTTAAATGTTAACGCACGACGCACGACGGACGACGCACGACGACAGACAAAAACGGATAGCAATAGGTCACCTGAGTGACTCAGGTGACCTAATAAACACAAAAAACAGCAATTAATACACCAATAATTACAAACGGTTTACATTTCTATGCATGTTTGCTACTGTATACTTACTATATAATTTAAAAATGATTTAAAATAATGGACCTCACTTAAATGATGTTCATAGAAAACAAATTTTTGAAGCCATCAAAAAATAAAGAGCCAGAATATCAAAGAACAATGTATAATGTTGTTTATGTACTATGATTTCAACAGCTCTCAAGTGTACTTATGTGATTATTACCGAAACAACTGAGGGCGGACTCATCTCACAATGGCATACAGCAAACACTACCATCTCATACAAGAGTCCAGGGAACAGGGAAGAGAGAACGATTTGTGTATTGTCACTGATGTGCTTCTTCCATTGACTGTAGTCACCTTGGAGATGGGTCCGATACCAGACAAAATAACTATCCTGTACAGTCACTGCCCAGCAACCATGTCAGGGTGACAGTCATTATGGGAAGTGGTGTATGTCAAATCCATCATCTTGTTGGGTTGTACAATTATTGTACATCAAACATTACAGACTTCAAAAACATCTTACTACAATTCCACCCTCACCCCCCTCCCCCTCTTACATTTATTAACTAAAATGTGTCAAGTCCGTCCACTAACTTAAAGCCTTGTTGACACTCTACCAGGACCTGTAAGCTGGCCTTAAACTTATTTCACACGGACTTTTTTACTGCAACACTGAATTGGCGAAGATAAACAATTCCAATGATGCTGATGTTGAATGATGTTAATTAAATGATGTGTGGCGGTCAGACGGGTTCGAACGCTGGTGGCCAGATAGCTCAGTTGGTAGAGCAATTGACTGGAGATTCAGGGGGCCCAGGTTCGAATCCTGGTCTGGTCCGCTGCATTTTTCTCCTCTCCCGTTACATTTGGTGCCGTGCTATGCCCTGGAAGTGACAGGTGAGAGGCCTGCCAGGGAAGAGCCTGGGTTTGTGTCTTCGGGGGCCGAAGACCTTTTAGGAGGGAGGAATGTGGCAGTCAGACGGGTTCGATCGCCGGTGGCCAGATAGCTCAGTTGGTAGAGCACCTGACTGGAGATTCAGGGGGCCCGGATTTGAATCCCAGTCTGGTCCGCTACATTTTTCTCTTCTCCCGTTACATTTGGTGCCGTGCCATGCCCTGGAAGTGACAGGTGAGAGGCCTGCCAGGGAAGAGCCTGAGTTTGTGTCTTCGGGGGCCGAAGACCTTTAAGGAGGGGGAAATGTGGCGGTCAGACGGGTTCGATCGCCGGTGGCCAGATAGCTCAGTTGGTAGAGCACCTGACTGGAGATTCAGGGGGCCCGGATTTGAATCCCGGTCTGGTCCGCTACTTTTTTCTCCTCTCCCGTTACAGATGTTTATTGTACAGTCAGCAGACAAAAACTGAATTCTTAAAGTTCTCAAACACAAATTCATAATAAGTATGTGTAAATGATAATCAAAACACATTAATGTATATAAATAACTTTTGAAACAACCTGTAGCGAAACCGGCTAAGAAAAGGCATGATCACAAAACAGTAGACTGGTATTGCCTGTCTCTATCGTTCGAAAGATATCGTATATCGCGCATATCAGACAGGCAAGCCAGTCTAACAAAACAGGAGATAAAGATCTATAGGTTGGCAAGCGGTAAATCCAGTCTTCCCGACTCCCGACGGTCCCGGATTTTGGTTTTTTGGCGATTTCTAATTTATTGGTGCAAAGAATTTCTTCAAACTTTTCAGGCACATTTTCTAGGTTTAAATGAATTCATTAATACATAAAAACTTGAACAATTTTAGTGTTTTTAATATTGAATCAGCATTATCGCCTGCCAAAAAGCGGCAAATCTAGTACTGTGTTAATCGCGAATAAATACAACAAATTGAGGTATAAATTTTCAAAGAAATAAGAGGAAAACCTCATTTACATGCCAGTAAATTTGCATGCACAAAAAACACACATTCCCCCCCCCCTTTTTTTTGTAGAACTCTTTGCCACGTCATGTTTGTGATCCCAGGCTCTACGATATGGACGTGGTTCTACCTCAGAGCCCTTTTTTTTTTTCTTTCTTTTTTTTAAATGTGAATTAATATTTTATTTATTCATATTAAGTTTACTCTTTTTTATTTTGTAAATTTTTATTTTTATTAAATTTACTCTTTTTTATTTTGTAAATTTTTATTTTATACCATTCAAGCATTTTTTTATTATAGATATTATACAACCGAGATCGTTTCTAAATTCAAAAGCTTTGTATCGAAAGAAATTTGTTATCTAGAGCATTTTTGATGTAATATTCTAATTAAATTACATTTATATTTCATTTCAACCACATATTTTGGAATTACGCTTTCTTAGATTTAAAAAACATGCACACAATTTATTTATGCAGTATTCCCTGGCACAACCTTTTAGCGGAGGGGGAATAAAGCGAGAGTTACTTCAACTAAATAAAAGCGCATATAAAAATGAAAAAAAATAAACTAAAAGCTACTATTTAAAAGCACTACATGGACATATGAATTAAGGTTGCGGCTATTTTGCGTATATACCTAGCAGTATTCCCACACAACCGTCAAGCGGAGGGGGAATAAAGCCAGATGCAAACTACCTAAAGCTACTTTGTGAATCAATACTCATCTTTACATCAGATCTTTTTTTCAATTTTTACAAACTCCACAAACCCATTCAAAACTGCGAGAGTCCTCTGGCTGGATCTGGCACATTGCTGGTGAAACTATTTCCCGCATGCATCGCATGATAACATGTCATCAAAGACATCTGGTAGGATGAACTCGCCTGCACAATTCACTGCAAATGATATTGTTGTAGTCTTTGATAGACTTAACCTCCTTGGTGGAACAATTGCTCTCTTTCTGGGAAATGGAGTCATGGTTTGCTGAATGATGCAGTTCATCAAGTGACCTCTCATAGCTGTAATGTCAAAATAAATATCTCTGGGGTCCTCCTTGGTCCTTGCAAACTCTGTTAGGAATGCCAGAGCAAATACACCACAGTCTACAGCATTGATTTGCTGTTGTACCCTTGGAACATTTACATTTATTTTTGAAATCTTCTGCGAGATCCTGTAAATTTTGGACAGCTGGACTTTTAAAGAAACTGTTAGTGATGGTTTCTTCCCTGCGCAACTGTCATACAAATTAATGTTGTTCTCTCCTATTTTGATAGAGACAACCCAGTGATCTTACCCGGTATGATGAACCTGTGCCGCTGTTTCCTCACTTAATGTTTTGAAAGGCAGTGCATATTTCGAAAACTTTACTTACAAAGTTTAAATTAAACTCTGAAGACAAACAGAATCAAGAATGTTTACAAAATTCGGGAAAATTTAGTTACCTTCCTTGACTAAAGAGTTCCACATAGGGAAAATAATTCATAAGCGGAAAAATAATAAAAGTAGAACAAATCCTAAAACTACGAAAGCCGGATAGGCTCATTTTTGACAAGACAAAAAAAATATTAAACTCGATATAAAGAGATAATTATCTCGTAATAACGAGTTAGTATCTCGTTATAACGAGTTAGTTATCTCGTTATAACGAGATAATTATCTCTTTATATCTTTATAAAGTTAGTTATCTCGTTATACCAAGAGATAGCTAACTCGTTATAACGAGTAAGTTATCTCGTTATAACGAGTTAGCTATCTCGTTATAACAAGTTAATTACCTCGTTTTCGTTATAACAAGTTAATTACCTCGTTTTAACGAGTTAATAATCTCGTTATAACAAGATAATTATCTCTTTATATCTTTATAAAGTTAGTCATCTCGTTATAACGAGTTAGTATCTCGTTATAACGAGTAAGTTATCTCGTTATAACGAGTTAGCTATCTCGTTATAACAAGTTAATTACCTCGTTATAACGAGTTAGTTATCTCGTTATAACGAGTTAGTTATCTCGTTATAACGAGTTAGGTATCTCGTTATAACGAATTAATATCTCGTTATAACGAGTTAGTTTTCTCGTTATAACGAGTTAGTTATCTCGTTATAACGATTTAATATCTAGTTATAATGAGTTAGTTATCTCGTTATAACGAGATAATTATCTCGTTATAATGAGATAAAAATTGATCTAAAGAGTTGATATATCTAGGTAAAGAATAGACCATTGTTTATAGGAAATATACAGAAGCGAGTCGATCAAATTTATTTGAATTGTGCGTGATAAAGTTTTTATGGAACAACAGCATACTAGTTTTTTGTGTTATGCCTTTGAATAGTATTGTTTATTGAAAAGACCGAAGACAAATTTACGGAAACTTATGACCGCCTCATGTTGTTGTGTTATACCTTAAAATTGCAAAATAGAATTAGTGTCATCTTCAAATGGAATGTATAGCCTATAACGTCAAAATTTTGTCAACTTGTAAAAAGGAGATCAGGAAAAAAAAATGATATTCTCTGGCTGATTTAACTGCCCTGTTCGAGCTTTCTTGACTTTGTTGAAATGATGATAATTTTTGCGTAATATTTGTCGCAATAAAAAATGCATAGAAACAATCCCATTACATGTATTTTATATCTTCCGAATTAATAATGTCGATATGATACCATTTGTTAGGCTTTAACGTCCATATTTTGATAATTCCTTGTCTGTGAACAAGGAATACCAGTTCAATTTTATCGTCTTAAAGGGGCAAGATCAAAATTCAATGTCTGACAAAAAAACTAAATTCACGTTGTTTTTATCATCAATCCCTCCTTCCCCTCAATAATAAATATGATGAATTTCAATAACTAATACTGTACTTATCACTTAATAATTTATATATTTCTTTTGTTTATTAAAAGAAAGAAACATTTTAATTTACCAATTTGGCATGAAATCTCATGTACAATATGTATTTTTTGCGCTATTATTAATGTGGTAGATAAAAAAAATTGGGGCTCTTTATTCTACGGAAGCCCAATAAAAAGGTGAAGGTCAGCAGGCTGAAATGTAGTGCATGTAGGAAATTCACATGCCTCACTTTGACAATAGTCAAAAAAGTGGACATGTTTGTGATCCTTTTTGGGTATAAAATGATAGTTTAATATCTAAAGTTTACAATATGATACGCATTGATTAAGGTGTATTTCAAGCATAAATTATGCCTAGAAATGTTTATTGTATCGTGAGACAGGATTTTTGATATTTTCACTCGTGCTTCGCACTCATGAAAATATAAAAAAAAAATCCTGTCCCACTCGAGAGATAAATTCCATGTCAACTACAAAACATTGAATATCCTCTATTTATTACCCCCACCCCCCAAAAAATCATCAATCTCTTTTTCAAATAAAAATTATATGCTTGTAAAGTATATATAATAAATATTGTGATGAGGAAATTAATTAACGACATTGCTTCCATGTAAAAAGATTATAAAAGTGAATTGGCTTTGTAAACTCTGTAAACTTTTTTTTTGTTTTGTAAACTCTGGTTTGATGTTTTGTCACCATGTGGTAAACATAGGATCCGCCAAATAGACGTGAATCTCAAATAGGTCTACGTGAATCTCCACAGCTTGAACACCCCCCCCCCCCCCAAAAAAAAAATAAAACAGTGAATCATGACAGAATATCAGATAAAATGTCAATATCAGCAGATCAGATCTAACGTTTTATTACTTAGAAGAATGTAATATCATTTTTGCTTCATCATTTCTCATCATGGTGGACAATCTGCATAAGCTTAGTCACAAAGTTCAAGGGGGGGGGGGATAAACCAAGTAAAATATTTGACAAGCAAAAAGAAAACAAAAGAGATTTGATATTCCAACTACGAGTATTCGCCATTATTTTCGGGAGATATTTACTCAGGTAAAAAAAAATCTGGAGGAAGAGGCACAAAGATACTCTTGACCGCCCCCTTCTCAAAAGTGGTGGTGGGGACATTAGCCCCCCTATTACTACGCCTATGATTTAACATCTGATGTCTCAACATCCCCCTTCTTCAAACATTTATGAATCTCAAAAATAATATATGTATCACACTGTAATCGTATATATTATATGTTGCATAAACGCCTGCGATATGTTGCACTTATATTGTCTCTGATAATTATTTAATTTTAGCGGTATAGAAATTGATATATGAAAGTGTATAAGTCGTCCAAAACATGTCGAAATAGTGTCATTCATCAGAAATAGTTGTCCTGAATAAATTGCCAAAGTTTAAAGCAAGTATATTTGGCAATGTTATTTTAAGAAAAATATCGCGTCCTAATGCAACAGTTTAAGGGGCCGTTCACGAATTAATGTCTAAATGTGTTCGCCTTAGAGTTGCTATACTTATCAAAATATGATTATTGACGGCGAGATAGTTTCAAGATTTAATCATAAGTAAACCCCAGAGCAAATTAAATTTTCATTTATCAATTGTTCAAGTTAAATTTGACTGATAATTACTAGCTAAAATTTCACTGAATGGCATTAAAAACTACAGCCATTTTTATTCCTATGTTGCTATTAAATCTCGAAATAATGAAAAAACTATCTCGTTATAACGAGATAACTAACTCGTTCTAACGAAATAATTATTTCGTTATTTTAGGAATGACTCTAATTCTTGGCCAAATTATTCGAGTATAACCTGGTTTGGGTCAGTTTACGCTTTATAATCCGCGAAGCGGATTATAAAACAGCGTAAACTGACCCAAACCAGGTTATACTCAAATAATTTGGCCAAGAATTAGAGTCATTCCTTATAATTTAATTCTAAAATCATTAAACAACTGTGGGTGTAAAATTTCGTTGCTTTTTATTAGTTCAAATTTGCCGCTCAATAATACAACCCTAGTAACGGAAGTGATGGGAAGCAAGGGGAGGTAAAAACTGATACATAGTCCTAGCAGCCATGTTTTTTGTTTACATGTGGTAAGATCCGAGTTACTGTTTGAAGCTAAAGGTACATTTATTAAATCTGGAATTTTCCATGAATCCCGAGGACTGGAAATGAGAAGATTGCATGGATACAGACGATTCAGCTGGTTGTCAGGGGGGTGTGTCCCCATACCAAACCAGGTTATACAGAAATAATTTGTGTTCCTTTTTGGATATTAACCAATCAGAGTCTAGAATACAAACAAAATTAAATTATAACGAGATAATCATCTCGTTATAACGGGATAACTAACTCGTTATAACGAGATAACTAAGTCGTTATAACGAGATAATTATCTCGTTATAACGAGATACTAACTCGTTATAACGAGATACTAACTCGTTATAACGAGATACCTAACTCGTTATAACGAGATAACTAACTCGTTATAACGGTATAACTAACTCGTTATAACGAGACAATTATCTTGTTATAACGAGATACTAACTCGTTATAACGAGATAATTATTTCGTTATAACGAGATTATCATCTCGTTATAACGGGATAACTAACTCGTTATAACGAGATAACTAAGTCGTTATAACGAGATAATTATCTCGTTATAACGAGATACTAACTCGTTATAACGAGATACTAACTCGTTATAACGAGATAACTATCTCATTATAACGAGTTAATTTTTTTTTTACTTGTCAAAAATGAGACTCTCCGGCTTTCGTATAAAACACTATTTCCTTATCAATTCAATAAATAAACGATTTTTATTAAGTTATTTTAAAATTTTAGACATTATTTGATCATTAAAGAATCAAATTGACATTTGAAAAAAAATCAGATATTCATGCTCAGAAGTACATGCATGTACACTAATATGGGAACAGACACTGACCTCTAAAAATATAAAATGTGGGATAAGGCTCCGGGCCCATAAAACTTAGACAAGCTCACTTTTTTTTTTACAAAAATAGAACTAAATATTGATTGATATTTGAGCCCCGGATGAAGGTGCATTGAAGGATGAAGTATCCCCTCTCGACCGGTCACACCCGCCGCGTGATCCTTATCACAATCGGGCAAACGGAAATATCCATAAAGACAATGAGAAAATAATGGCCTAACAATTTGTATGAAAAGCGTTCATCAATATTCGACTTTTAACAAGATAGATTATATTTGCTGGCGAGGTCATTGTATCGAGCACAGAGTTTGCGAAATGCTAACTTTAAACAAGGCAGTCGATATCCTTGTTTCATCAACTTAATTGTCAATAGCTTGTCTCCGTCAGGCGTGGATCCAGGATTTTTTTTCTCCGGAGGGGGGGGGGGTAAAAATCGTTAACTTTTTTCCCAAACGTAAAAAAAACTACTTCCGTTGGATGGGGGCTTTCCTTCACTTCTTTAGTTTCATATGTTTCTACTAAATTAACAGAGTTCTACTTTTTTCAGGGGGAGACTTTTTCTTCAACTTTACTATGAAAATTAAATAATTCCGAAATTACAGGTGTTTCCCGAGTCCATCTCCCCATCCGCGTATGCTCGTTGTAGAAATTGTTCGTATGTTTGCATGTTCTTGCTCTTCAACTGGGAGACATTAACTCCATATGCAGCTCATTGGCGGATATAGGATTTGTGATTGGGGGGGTGGGGGGTGGGGTGGATAAGTTCGTTCAGGCAGGGGGTCTGGGGGCCGCCTTAAGGCCCCTAGTGGGTCCAGGGCCAAGTCCTGGTGGGGGCCCAGGGGGCGAAGCTCCCGGAGGCTCCTGGTTTTCCGCGAAGTTTAAGAGTAAAACCAGGCACAAAAATAGTGGTATTGATTAGTTATGTACACTATGATATTTCACTTTTTAAAAGAAAAAAAAACACAAACACACACACACACACACACACACATACACACACACACACACAAAACAAAAACAAAAAAAAAAAAACCAAAAAATAAACAACAACGAACAAACAAGATCAGATTTTAAAAATAGCATTTTACCTAGATATACATGAAGTCACAAAAATCAGAATGTTTTTCAAAGTACATTGAGGGCTGGGTGGTTGTGACCATTTTCAGACTATACTGATCTCCTTTAGAAGAAGAGCTCCATATAAAGATATACAAAAATGATCAAATTTTAAAACTAAAATGTATGAAATCGTGAATCTCCGTCTCCGAACTTCGTGTATCTTAAAAATCCTTCTGAATTATTGTTATTTCAGCAAGGATGCTAGTCAACCTGATATTTGTATGTAACTCTAATGTTATTCCAAAAAGTGTTGTTTTTTTTTTTAGATTCCATTCACTGACCTACACATGTATCTCCACCGCAGCCAACGAAACAAAATAAACAAACACGCTGTAACGTGCAGTTCCGTTTATAACAGTATGAAATAAACGAAGCACAATGATACACATACAATACATGTATCTGAAAATTGAAAAATTAAATATTGCAACGTTTGTTTTTATAAGTATTATACATATATGACAGATACACTGTAGGGCAGGGTGGTGTAATTTCGACCGATTAATTTTTTTATATTTAGATTTGTTCAAGTATGTCACTGCCTATTACATGTATTACGCTCAATTTTTACTGGATCCTTTTTCCTTCGGAATACATGTACCTTTTATTGTTCTGATTACATTGTATTAAATGTATTATTCGTCATGATATAAAATGAATGTGTTCGATTTACAAGGTATGTGTGTTGGGTAACTTCGGCCGCACACGGGGTATTTTCGATCGATGTGCAAATATAAACGAAATTATTCGCGTCATCTCTAATTTAACAAGCTAATTCAGAGAATTTGTGTCCCCCGCTTATTGAAAAAAGAAGAGCATGCGCAGTTTCGGGGGGGGGGGGGAGGGGGGTCACACTGCCCCCTGTATTTGTAGAATTATTAAATGTATACAAGTATATCAGTCGTCCAGTCCAATACGAAAAATCGTAATATTACGAAAATTCGTAATATAAGCAATTTCTAACTATTCTAAGAGTTACTTCCCTTTTTCTGATACACCTTGTATAACAGCTGTATAAGTTTCATTAATCATGATATCGTGGATATATGAAATATATGGAAAGCCGTAGGGTACCCCCACACTATTATTATTTTTTCCTATATAATTATACCAAAAATAATTATCTCTTCCAAAAATAAAAATCTTGCTTTTTTGACAACATTATTATTTTTCCTGCAACAATTATAATCTTGTCTGTCAAACGTGTACACATTATTTTTATTTTGTCCTAAAATTATAATTATTCACACCTCACAATTATAATCTTGCCAGTCAAAGTAGACACATTATAATGTTTCGCCTTCAAATTATAATCTTGTCAGTCGATGTCTATACACATTATTTTTATTTCGCCTCAAAATTATAATAATTATTCTTACTTAATAATTATAATCTTGTCTGTCCATGTGTACACATTATTTTTATTTCGCCCCAAAATTATTACACAATTATAATTCTCGTATTTTTATTCCCCACACATTATAATTTTCATCGCATCATACAATAAAAATCGGTAACGTTACACAATTATAATCTCCTACTCCAACAATAATAATTATGTCGACCAGAAATTTAAGATGCAACATTATTATTTAGACGCTTGACAAAATCAAACGTTTGTATGATTCGGATGCACAGTACGATTATAATTTTACTTGACAGCGAAACTCGCAAGATCATAATTATTGCTAGCGCTCTCGAGCGCTAGCAACTACGTTAGTCTATATTTCTGAAATACGCATGCTCGACTTCACGGTCGGGGATTCTGGGAAAACTACTGTAGATAGACTGTACGATAACAATTTCGTTTTGTCATACAAAAATAGAAATGATCCGAATTTACACTGGCCTTTCCTGTCTGATATGCGCGATATACATTTCATAGGTTAGAGACAGTTAATACCAGTCTAGATCCGGATTCTGATTTTTTTTTTTTAATTTATTGTCTTACCTACATATAAAAGTACAAGAAAAAATTTGGCCATATAATGCCAAGATTCTAGATATCTAGCTTTCCTTACAGTTTTACCACCTTAGTGGATAATTCCAGCAAGCTCGGAAAAAACAACAACAACGACAAAAATCTTTTTCAGAGTATGTCGGAAAGACATGTCAATTTAGTGTTTATCATCTGAAAATACTTGTATACATGTATGATCTGAAGTTTCTGTTTTGTTGTCTAACCTGCACGTAAATGAACAAAAAGTAACAGTAACTCGGGTCTTATAAAACCAAGACTGTTATTTCTAAAGTTATAATGAATACATAGCTTTTCTAATCTACCTTCATGGATTTTTCCGGCAAGCTCGGAAAACCGCGGCAACCTCGGATATGTTTTCCGAGCTTGCCGGAAAGGCCCGAAGGTGCTCATTGGTTCTACTGACCTTTTATTTTTCACATCGAAATTGAAATTACAGTAAAATACAGAATGCTTAAAGCACAGTTAGGAGTTATGCCATTGCCGACGTGAAGCATACTTTTAGATTCACCATTCTGAATTGTGACCCCCCCCCCCCCAACTCAACCCCCAGTGCACCAATCTGCCTTGCAATTAATAATTAATCGATTCAGCAAATTTAAGAAATGGTTCAGATATCTTCTGTATTTTATTATGCTACAGCGCTAGCTCACCAATCTTTTTAAAAGATAAGCTTGTTGTAGAGCTACATCATTATTTGGACGCTTGACTGGATCAAACGTCCTCTGGAAGCAGATCACCACGTGATGGTAATGCTATATATAAGCATTAGCACCTCGAGAGACGACCGAAAGTTTTTTACCGAGTATCTGAAAGACTGAGAGACTGAGAGATTTATGGAAAGAGGTAAGGCTACATTAAGCCTACATTAACATGCATATTATGAAAGGCCCAGATATTTAGCCAGTAAGGGGAGCGCCGCTCGAGGCACAGGCACCTGAATTTTTATCAATAAAGCCAAATATAGAGAGGGGTAGGGTTCGATGTTTGGCTTATTGATTGATAATAAATTCAGGTGCATGTGCTGGAGGCATTGACGGTCGTGCTAATCCCTATACAAAACAGCAGATACTCAGAAAGTCCATCACTTTACCCTGGACCTCTTGTTTGGCGTATATTTAATCATAAAATTATTGGATGTTTGGTAGAAAAACATGTATCAAAAGTAATAAATAATATTTTGAACCCCCCACTTTGGATTCGCTAAAAGAGAGATGGAGGAGAGGAATATTAATAATTTGTTGTGTTTTTAGCGTAAGAAATGTTCTGTGAAAGGAAATAGAGTAAAGTATGAAGAAAATTAAGTTGTGAAAAAAGAGCCCCCACCCCCCACCCCCAAACAACAAAATAGGATTTTCGGGTTAAGTGACTTTTCCCCCTTTTGTGTCAGAATTTTTCAGCCATTCTAAAAAAAAAAATATATATATAATCGGTTCACGATCGGGTTCGTGCTGCACTAAAATGTTCAAAAAACGAGGTTGTGGATTATGACAGAAGACGGTAAAGTAATATTGTGCATTGTTTTCAGCAATTTTTACCAGCAAATACTTAATATACTTGGCAAAATAATACCAGATGCAATCAAGACTGAATATTTTCCCCAATTTGAATTTTTATATCCCTATTTATTAATAAGTTAAAGACAGAGATATTTTATCGGGAAAATGAGTAACATAAGTAATTGTCATGTTATTCATACATTATGTGATTTTAGTCAAAGACATCTTTGTAAGACAGATTTCATTCCAACATTTCATTCATAAACAAGTAATCCAAAGTGTCCACATTTGGGGGGGGGGGGGGGCAGTTATCATATACAAGGTCTTACAAAATGACATCCTTAAAAGAAAAAGGGGATACCGGTAGGGGACATGTATTGCTTATGCAATACTCTCAGAATGCTTGTTGATGTATGAATTATATACAAAATGTTAAAACATAATATCTTTAAACTTTCAGTGTTCACATATTAAACTGAACTTAATTCCTAAAATGAAGAAAGATATTTTTTGTTGGCCATAATTTTCCTCCTTTTTTTCTGGCTCTTTTGTAAGCCTTGCAATGCCTGGGAAAGTCAAGCAACAGATTTGGCCAAATTGGCCCAACTATCCTCAAATTGATGGGAGCATTGTGAAATTTAATTATAAACATGCAGAGCGGAAATATATTGGGCCAATCTAAAATAAATGATGCATGGAACTGTTCATTGCTGCAGGGACATGTACTAATATAAATTCTGGAGGTGAAACAATTCAGTGAGGTATCAATTTAATGCAGTATTTATTTTCTTTAGGTTGATACACAAACAAAATCTCTATTTCCAATTTTTTTTTTTAGTTAGGATCATTATTCATTTCAGTAAGGTTTGACTTAGCTAAAAACATGCTACACAGTGTAATATTAATTATTAAAAAACATAATTGTTGAGGACTGATAGTTTGCAAAATAATATTTCACAGTTAATTCAAGTACCGGTACCAAGACATCATTATACGATACATATTAATTGTGAAGGAGGCTTATCATTAAACCCCTGAAAGACCCACACCCCACCTCATTTTATAAAAAATTTTTCCAGACTTTTTCATGTAAAATCACCTAGCCTCATTTAACATGGAATTTTGCAGGGGTTGAAATATACGGTAGCCTGACACCTGGGGCTAGTCATTTTAAGACACGGGCTACCTAATTTAAATGTAACGATAGTCAGTTGGACTAGCAGAACAAAAAAAGTTTGGGATCTTCAGTTTATCAAAGGTTTTCTATGTAGACTGTTTTCTTTTGATTGAGAACTAATTAAATTTGTTCCTGTTACCAAAGTATTTGACACTTTAATTTATTATGTTTTCATTTTGCATGAAAATTGTTGGGCTAGTTAGTTAGAGATTTGGGCTAGTAAATTTTAACTGATCAGTAGCCCCTGGGCTAGTGGGTTTTCCAGAAAAATTTCAACACCTGATTTTCTCCAACCAGTGTATATTGTTAACAGTGTTTAAAATAGATGGTTATTTTTGTTTATTTAATTTTCTGTAATATTTTAATTAGATTTTACATACTAATGAATAAAATGATGTTCCAGATCACCATGTTTTGCATGGAATGTGGGAGAAGCCTCGCTTACTTCGCGAAATTTTGCGGGAATTGCGGAGCTCAAGTTCAACATGTTAAAGGTATGTAATAAAAATAATCAAAAAACACATGGTCACTGAGAAGATTTTAAATACTTAAAGAATGTATTCTGCTGAGATAACTTGCATTTAACTTTTCAAAGTAGTGGTCAAAAATTAATGCATATTTCGATGGATAAAATAAAGGGAATTCTTCAGAAATGGCTGAGACCTTATAATTGGATATTAATTCCTGAAATTTTGTGGATTATTTTTTTTTAAATCTTTCTCCGAAGACAAGGTCAGAAAAGACGAAACTTACATGAAGCTTTATTACGTCTGTAAATTTAAAATTTTCATATCATAATCCCCAGGGGTAGGGGTAGGGTGGGGATACAACAGAGGGTCAAACCTCTACACTGGAATACATAGGAAAAATCTTTAATAATCTTCTTCTCAAGAACAACAAAACCATGATTAGTAATATTTATATGGATGCATCCTCGGGTAGTGTAGATTGAAGTTTGTTTAAGTCATGGCCTAGTGGAACTATAATATGTGATCAAAGTTTATTTAAGAAAATTCATACATACATATATATATATATATATATATATATATATATATATATATATATATATATATATATATATATATATATATATGCATCTAGAAAAAAAACTGCTGATGAAGAACAGAAGTGTGGTTAATTGCTCAGGTGAGATTGTTGCCCATGGGCCTATTGTTTTTGAAGGAGATGGAAGTCTAGCTGCTATGTTGGGAAAGCTATCATAAGTATTTAAAATACATTTAAATTTACGTGTTATTATTGTTATATTATTGTAATGTTATATTTGTAGATAAAGATTCAGCTACAAGTGGCAGTCGGGCAATAGAGGTTGGATGTCTCTCACCAGGTAATAATTTTAAGCTAATATTTAAGACCAGTACAATTGCAATTTTATTTCAAATTTAAGGATAATACATACATGTATGTGTATGTATCATATATGAGTATAAAAATTTCCGTATCTTAGCCAGAATACACTTCTCTTTTGAATTTTACTTTCAAAATTTTGAAATCTAGATGCAAAGAAAAGCCTTGCAATACTGAAAGCAAAATATTTGCCAAAGAAGAAAGAGATAAAAGAGAAGAAAGGGGAGAGGAGCAGTGTGAATGTGAGTGATCTTGTAGTGTAAATACATTTTTTTCAGAATGATTTAAATTTTTTCAACCTTACAAGAAATCACCCATATGTAAAGGTTGCAGGACTATGAGCAGTACATGTATATAGTGAAATGCCGTTCATTTTTTTTATTACAAAGTTGTATTTTCGGGCATGCATGTAAAGAAATGAGTGAATAGTTTTATCATACAACCATGTGCCTTGAAGTGGTGGAATTTTTTGTTTGAATGGAATGGTATGGTTTTTATTTTCGAACATCAATTGTAACACAATGACCCGCCCATTTCTTTAGAAACAAGAGAGATGTATTTGTTGCAATGTTTTCAGGCACCCCACTCTCTGGGACTAGCAACATGAGTTTTTCTGAAATGGAGATTTTTCAGAAATTATATGAGATAGTTAGAGACTCCCCCTTCTGTAAAACTAACATATTGCAACAAAAGTATACGTATATGTATGAATTTATCCTGTTTACCACAACATTTATTGGCCTTTCCGAAGAATTGGGCATGTCCTTATGTGGCATTCAATGTTCAAATGAAATCACAAAACCTTCCATTCTAATGGAAAATTTTACCACTTCATTGTATCATCATCGCTATTGAAGGGATTCATTGCTGATGTTTGACTGATACATTCTCATATACATGTATATCACTTAGTATATGTTCTCCCTTCAGGATTGGGTTACATGTATATAACACTTGAATCTATAGTGGAAAAGTACATTTTTCAGCCAATTTAATTTCAACGTGTTTCTTTTTCCCTATACTTTCAGCTGGTGCATTGCACCTGGATGAAGGTAGAGGTTCCCCAATCCTATTATTGTTACACTGATTATCCAACTTTGTATAATAATGTAACATTAGCAGAATTTATTACACTCATGATAAAAATGGAATTTGAACTAAATTGGTATAAAGACAAAAAATAGATTACCTGGTACTAGTATTGATGTCGTAAGATCTGCACTATACAAACTTTTATTTAGGAAATACAAATCCAAATTATGGATGGAAAGAAAAAGGCACTTAAACGAGCATTTCCTAGTGAAACTGGTTTAACAGGGACTTTAAAGATGCCAGTAAAACCTGGAGAAAATGCGAAGGACTGGATGAAAAGATTAACTAGCCAATTCAGGGGAAAGATATCCTTTGTCCCTTTTATTATGGGACCAGGGGGTTTACAGGAATTAAGTGAACCTGCAGCATTTAATATAGAAAATCTTTCTGCTTTAAAAACCCAAAGGAAGGCCAAGATATATGCCTTAGCTAAAGGAAAAGGTGAGAAAAGCCCTATAATTTCAAGTATAATTTACTAAGAATTTGATACTAATTTTCTAATTCAACTAAGGTAAGAGCTATGAAGTACTCTGATCAAAAATTTTTTAAAATGACAAATGTAATGGCTGTTTTAGTAAATACTGAATGCATTTTTTTAAAAAAAAAAATGGATGCTCTCCTCATATATTTTTTATGAAATGTATGCATTATCCATATTTTATATATGAAGACATAGTGTTGACATAATTAATTCAGTGTAATACGAATGCATTATTTCACCTTTATAAGACGACAAGAAATTCTGGAGAATTTTAATAATTGCACACAGGTCAAAAGCTGAAAGTGTATTTCAGACAACTGAGAAGCAATTTTTTAAAAAAAATTATTTTTCCTCTTGTTTTCAGCTCTACTGGTCAGAGACCAGAGGAGCTTATCTGATAGTAAGGTGTACGTTGTGCATTTTTCAAAATGCTACTCCTCCTACAGCTTTGGTCTGATTTTAATATAACGTGGCACACAAGTAGACTACACAGGGATACCTAATTGTCTTTATCATTTTATAATTTTGCTGAATGATGTTGCCATGGTTACTGAAATCCAAATTTCTGTAAAATTCCTTTAAAAGGCTACTCCTTCTTCAGTTTTAGTCTAGACTGCAATAAATCTTACTAGAGAAGAGACTAAAGCAAGGATTGTTATTCTATTATTGCTGTTGCAAAGTTTGAAGTACAAGTGCCACTTTTCTATCCTTTGTTAAAAGTACAAACCATTAAAGTTGCATTATCGACAGTGCCTTATTTTTATTATTGTTATTTGAACACGTCATATATGAAATTTATGATTAAAGAAGAAAGATTATATTATTGAGAAATAGAGCCACAATAGAGTGGTGATTTGTAATTGCTTAAAGCTTGGTTATCAATAAATATGATATGGAAAAATATTGCTTCTCAGTTGGCTATGTTATTTTATTGTTATATATTTCAGTTTGAATTGTTCGAAATTTTTAATTTGAAGTTCTGAGCTCACCTGATCTGAAGACAATTGAGCTTTTTTATCAAAATTTGTCAATTGCCTGTTCTTGTTATTATTGTCATTGTAAACTTTTTCATATTTCCATCTTCAATCCACCAGGCCAATTTCAACCAAACTTGCTATAAAATTTAATGGCATCTTTCAAAGAATTTCTGTTCAAACCTTACTGGGCCAGAAAATTTATAACATATGTGTTAGTTATATTGCATTGTGCAGATTCAAACTGGTTAAAATCATAATCCCCACCCTGGGGTAGGCTAGGGCCACAGTATGCATGAAAGTTGTTCATGATAATATGTAGGAAAAAATCTTAACAAGAACCCCTGGGAGTAGAGTTGGGATACAATGGACAATCACATTTTTACATAGAAAAACATCTTTCAAAATCTTCCTCTGAAGAGCAGTGAAGCTAGTCATTCTGAAATTCAAGTATCCTCAGGTAGTGTTGATTCATTCTTTTTTCAAATCATGACCCCTGGGGATAGGGGGGATCAAAATGGATGATCAGTTTTACTTAAGAATACATTGAAAAAAATCTTACTCTCAGGAAAAATTAAGCCTTGATTAGTCATATTGATTTGAAAGCATCCTCAGGTAGTGTAAATACAAGTCTGTTCAAATCATGATCCCTGTGTATAAGGGTGAGGACACAGTAGGTGATCCAAGTTTTACATAATAGAGGTACAGTAAACCATGCTCAGAGTGAGTGGAGGCTTACAATCTTTTTTATTCCAATGGGTTTAAAAATGTATGATGATCGAACTTAATGGATGTAATGAATAAATTGTTTATTCCAAAGCAATATTGTCTGTCTCTGTAATTTCTTTAATATTAACATATTAATATTAACATGTTTTACAGTATATGCGTAAGAAGTCCTTAAAAAAATTATTTTCAAGAACAGCAAATGCATGATTAAACTTATGAATATTGAAGCATCTTCAGGAAGCTTTGATTAAAGTTTGTTCAAATCTTGACAGCTGGGGGTAGATGGGGTAGATTTAGGCCACAAAGGGGGATTAAAGTTTTCATAAGAATGTACAGGAACTTTTTTTGAGAATGTTTTCTCAAGAACTGCAAAGCTGTCATAACTTATGGAAACATCCTCAGATAATGTTATTTCATCCCTCTTTTTTTTCAAATTATGAACTCCATTTGGTAGAGTAGAGCCACAATAGTAAACAAAATTTTAAATAGGTTTATACACATGCAGTGCTTTCAGAAAGATTAGAATCAGCTGGTACTTGTACAAAAATAGGAGGTACCTTATAAGCAATTTCAATTACGTATGTTATCAAATTTATTTTGAAAGGCCTGCACATGATACTGGAAACAATTTCCTGATGTAGAAAAGCAAGGCTATGACTCGCATGAGTTTTCTAGCCCATGGGCCACTTTCTGAAAGTGTTTGACTTGTTCATCAATAATAATGTGAAAAAGTTCTAAATTTTTATCAGTGTAGAAGCCATTCATGAATTTTTGAATACTGTAGAAGTACATTTTTCTGTTTGGTATCAATGTACACTATGTACGGTGTCACAAATTTTCTGCGGAAATTTGCTCCAGCATACTTAAAGTACATATAAGGTTTATAGAGGCACTCTAAGAAATCTATTTCCGTTTTTTAAAATTTTATATCCATGGATTGAATAGAAATTGTGACTACGTGGAATCATGACATTATGAAAAAAGTATGTTAACAGTAATTAAATGATTATGCATCCTGTATATCTTCATTATAAAATCTTATTTTCTGTCATTGTGATATTCTTAGTCTAAAAAAAAATATTCTTTTATCATTTATGGTAATATTTATAACTTTAATATGCACCAGTGTTCTGAATGCAGAAAATAAAATGGAATAAGGTTGGTTGTTGTTGAATAATGAATTCTTTTTCTATCTGTAGGACCAGGAACTACCAAAGATTTCTTCACCGAGAACAGTTAGTATCTATATACATTAATTTATAATGTACTCTTAAAGAAAACTGAAGTGAAAAAAACATGGGTAACATAATATGCACTAATTATTGAATTACTTGACTAGAAATTGTGAATAATGGTCACAAGATCACCTTGGTCACTGTGCCCAGATTTACTCAACCATGAAATGTATGACATCATATAGGGAAAGTGTTCAAGCTAAAAACATACATGATGATGGCAACATGCAATTCGCAAAGGATTGTGGCTCCAGAAGTAACTGTGAAAAAAATTCATTTGGATTAACTTGCCAAGTCTGAATTTTCCCTTCACCAGGCGTAGTCATTTGAGCTAGCAGTGCGATAATATACATAGATATTTATGAAAAAGGATTGTTGTGTTGGAGATTTTGCTAATTAAATAAGGCTTTTATCATTAATAGCTATAATATGAGTAATAGACAATGTATATACCCATAATGAGCATTTTTTATGTGGTGGGGGTGTACTGAGTTGACCATCTCTTTCTGTCTCTCTGCTTGTATACATTTTGTTCAAAACCATTATTCCAGATCTTTAACTTTTACATTTCGAAGCATTTATGAAATAATCATTTGATCAGCTCTGACTTGTTACTTTTTAGTTTATGCAATATGATATCTATATGTTTATCAATAATTTCAGATATCTGATGAAACAGACAGTGAGGTATGCAAAAGCATAACATAAATACTAACCAGTTAAACTTTGTGTGTATGAAGACCGATAAATTAAGAACTTAGCATAAAAAGCAAAGATTTGATATGTAATATACATGTATTTCACTTTCAGTCCTCAGAAATGGAGTTTGTAATGGAAAAGTCAAAAAAGAATTACCACAAATTGTGAGTATATTAAAATTCAGCATAAAAAAAAGTTTATTTAAATGAAGTGCTAGTACAGCTAAGTTTGTTATCTTGGACTTCTGTCCAATCTTCAAGATATAATCAATTATTAAGATTTTGAGGTTAAAATACCTGAAGAAGAAATAATTTGGACTATCAGGTTACTTAGGATATCAGTTGTTGTTCTTGATATATCAATTTTTGAGATTTCAAAGTTCAACTGTATATGTTGGATTGGTGCACCATATTTAAAAATTTACCCGTGTGATGCTAACCTTAACTTGTATGCAATATTAGTTTATCTAAATACAGTGTGTATTCAATTAAATTTGAATAAGAACATGTGACAAACTGTCAAAATTGTTGGTAAGTACTAAAACTAAAAATTTCCCTGTAAAGTAATAAAATTTGAATTCTTCCTCTTATGAAACAAGTTATTGAGGGCATATACTTTGCATCACTATAAATGAAAGTGTTAGCTTGAGGACTAGATTGCATAAGAACCCTATTAATTAAGATAAAAAAAATTTTGTTACATTCTTTGACGCTGTAGTAACTAGTCTTTTAATTTTCAAGGATATAAATATTTTTTAAGAATATTGTACAATGGATAAAGAGAATACCCTTTTCCATATCACATACGGTATCAGCCCCAGACACCAACATCAGTTAGAAAGTTGAAGACCCGAGGCTGATGTTGGTCGAGGGCTGATACAGGATGTGATATGAAAAAGGGTATGCTTTATGATGATTATCACATACTTAGTATGTGATATGTGCCTAACGGCCTCAGGCAAACAGTTTGGTTCTTGGGTCCGTCAAAACATATATTGCCCTTGAACCCAGCAATAAATGTGTATTGTTATACCCTTGTAAATATTGTTCTATATATATACCCCAGAAAAATCCAAGAAGAGTAAATGTTTTTGCATTGGTCTATCAATTTTATTGTTGATTGGTCTGTCAGTCTAACATGAGAATTGTTAGAGTGCAGCGTTACTGCAGGTGACTGTTGTTCAATATTGGCAACACGAAAATAGCTGAAGTTTAGAGCTGCATGAGTTGTCCTATGCTTTTTGAAAGATTGCTTCAGGAAATAATTATGTTTTGTGATAAATAATTTTTAGATAAAAAGCTGAAGGATTAATTATTCTCATTACTTGTCATTTATACTGGATGTAGAATGATTTTCATAGTTCATTCATAGTTAGCAGTTAATTAACTAATACTATGTATGTGTGATCAATGATTAAAATTTAGTGTTTTAAGTCATATCGTTGGAAGAAATAAAGTAGCCTCTTGCATTTGGAAATGTATGTTCTAAGAGATGTCCATTTAATTGAGCATGGTAATGTTTTTACTATGTACATGTTTTGTTGTCTGCAGTTTTCCAAGAAAATGAGGAAGAGGAAAAAGTCTGCAGCTAAGCCGGTGGAAGAATATTCAGTACATGTTAGTACATATAAATTTCTCCTTATATATAAATTTGCCATATCACACTTGTAAACAATCTTTAACATCATTTCAAATAAAAGTTGTGTTAAAAAGAAAAAAAAATATAACCCAACCTGTCTCTTGTATGCTCCTATAGAAAATGGAAAATGTTTAATATACATGTTGACACAGTACATTTTACATTGGGTACTAAGGGAAGGGATTAACAAGTATTTTGACTACTACTTAGCAATTTTGTTCTTAGTTTTTTAACAATTTGCAGGTGTTTAATAACTTGACTCAAACATTTTTTTTTAAAGATTTCTGATGATTCTGACCTACCAGACATCCCCTCAGATATTACAGATCCAAAGTGTGACTCTGTATGTAAACAAAAATAATTACATTCATTATTAATTTACAGTGGTATTTAAATAATAAGAGTAAGTAAGTAGATGTAAGCAGTCTGTTACGTCTAAATATTTTCTCTTTTTCATAAGGTTTCAGAGGGAATTATTTACAGGATCATGATAAGTCTTAACAATTCACGTTTTATACACAAAGGCAGTTTTCTTACCTGTAATTTTTGGGGGCTTCAAATTGTTATATATCAGCATATTTTTAGCTCACCTCGATGAAGTCAAGATGAGCTTATGCTATACCCCCAGCATTGGCGTCGGTGTCCCGGTTAAAGTTTTAGGAGCAAGTCCATTCCCAAATAACTATAAGCCCTACCTGGACCAAACTTGCATTGATGATGCATCTGGGGATGGACACTACCACACTTGCTTCAGATGCTGGATCTGGCCTAGATTTTCCAGTTGAGTGACCAGGTTACAGTTTTTGGAGCAGGTCCATACCCAAGTAACTATTGGCCCTATCTGGACCAAACTTGCATGGATGATGGATGTAGGGATGGACACTACCACACTTGCTTCGGATGCTGGATCTGACCTAGATTTTCCAGATGAGTGACCAGGTTGAAGTTTTTGGAACAGGTCCATTCCCAAGTAACTAGAAGCTCTACCTTGAACAAACTTTCATGGATTATGCATCTAGGGATGGACACTACCACACTTGCATCAGATGCTGGATTCGACCTAGATTTTCCACATGAGTGAATTTTAGCCATATTTTAACCAAATTAGCATGGATGATGTAGCTAGGGATGGTCACTTCCAGACTTGCTTTGGATTCTGAATCTGACCTACATTTTCCAGATGAGTGACCAGGATAATTTTTTTGGAGTAGCTATATAACATTTTGGCTTGTTATGATTAATCTTGCATAGATGGTGCATCTAAGGATGAAAACTTCCAGACTTACTTTGGATGTTGGAACTGACCAAAATTTTCTTGACTAGTAAACAGGATAAACGTTTTTTGAACAGGTCTATTTCCAAGTAACTATAAGTCATACTTAAACCAAACTTGCATGGACATTGATGTTGGGATGTACACTAAATAAAAAAAAATATGATGTGAAAGTTGCCTTACTTAAAGATAACATTCGTCGAGGTGAGCTTTGTAATCCTTGATTACCTATGTTTAAACTTAATTATTTCCTTGAATTTTTCATGTAATATTCTGATAATTAACTTGTTGTGATCAAATTTTTTTCATTGGTTGTTGTCGACATATTTGTCATAAAATTTATACAATTTCATCTTCTTCTCCAGAACAAAACTTGCCACAGAGTAATCTTGGGTAAAGGGGATTCAAGTTTGTTCAAACTTAAATTATCCAAGGGGAGATATTTAAGAAAAGTAATAGAATCATGTGGGGTCATTTGACCATCTTCTACTCGAGAACCACAGGGCCAGAAAAGACAAAACTTTTGTGAAAGATTTCTGACATCAAGTTTGTTGAAATCATGGCCTTTGAGGGAAGGAGGGGTCATAGTTTGATGTCAAATTTAATGCAGTTTTAGTTTTAGTATTTGCTATATGAATATTGTTGCTAACCTTATGTGCTTTGAATTACTGGGGTACATCTCAGAATAAAACCTTATGAATTACTTTCTAAATATGATTTTAACTGTTTAAGAATTTGAAAACATCCACTCCAAAGAAAAGTGCATGGTCTACTGCTACGGTTACCACTGAAGATAAAATACAGGTATGTCTAATGTCATGGAAAGTCCATTATATTGATGTGAATGTAACCATCAGAAAATACTGATTTTATTTTAATTGTTGTAAAAACAAAAAATGAATGACTACAATGTACTTTATAATGTAATTTAGAATTTCAAATCCATTCCAAAAGAAAGTGCATGTTCTACTGCTACAGTTACAAATGAAGATAAAATACAGGTATGTCTAATGTCAGGGAAAGTCCATTATATTGAAGTGCATTGTATTGAAGTGAATGTTTCCATCAGAAAAAAAATTGTTTTTATTTTAATTGTTGTAAAAAAAAATTTAAATGACTACAGTGTATTCTATAATGTAATTTAGAATTTCAAATCCATTCCAAAAGAAAGTGCATGTTCTACTGCTACGGTTACCAATGACGATAAAATACAGGTATGTCTAATGTCAGGGAAAGTCCATTGTATTGATGTAAATGTTTCCATCAGAAAATAATGATTATTTTTTTATTGTTGTTAATTGTTGTAAAAAGAGTTACCAATGACCAACTACGGTTACCAATGAAGATTTTTACTACCCCATTTTTACTAGCCCAAGGGGCTACCTTCGTGCAAAGAACCCCCAAAAATTGTAGCCCCAGGTGTCCGGCGATGCTAATTGCACACCCCTGTTGCATGTAAAGTCCATTATATTCATGTGAATGTTTCCATCAGAAAATAATGATTATTTTTTAATTGTTGTAAAAAAAAAATTGAATGACTACAATGTACTTTATAATGTAATTTAGAATTTCAAATCCATTCCAAAAGAAAGTGCATGTTCTACTGCTATGGTTACCAATGACGATAAAATACAGGTATGTCTAATGTCAGGGAAAGTCCATTGTATTGATGTAAATGTTTCCATCAGAAAATACTTTTTCTATTTTAATTGTTGTTAAACAATTTTTTTTTATTAATATAGACTACAATGTATTTTGTAATTCAGAATTTCAAATCAATTCTAAGGAAAAAATATTTGTACTCCTGCTGATGAAATACAGATATGTGATTCTTTAAAAAAAATTGTGTAACATAGTAGTGTTTATAAAAAAAGTATGTTTTCAGTATTTAATATTTTTCAGTTGATGGAGTCACCTAATTCATATTTTGAGCAAGGGCAGTCTCATTTGTCACCTGAGAAAGAGGTAAATATATTTATCATACTTGTATAAATACATTGAGTACAAATCGGTTAACATTACTTTTTTAAGGACTCTGAAGAAGTTGTAAATATGCTGTCTTAAGAGTTCTCTATTGACCATAGTGTTTGTTTATACATAAGAATAGCTAGGAAATTTTGGCAGTTACCCCTGCCAAAAATGATGAAAAGTTCCCTATGCCCCCTCCTGCCCCTCTTACAGTGTCCCGTTTTGCCCCCCCCCCCCCCCCAGGGTCCACACATGCTGTTCTTTTTACCTTAAGCAGGGAACACAGTTTCTCTGAATTAGCTTGTTTTCCCCTTAATTTGGGGAAAAAATTTTCTGAATTACTTGTCATTTAAAACAACTTTTTCCCTTACAGATCATAGACCAGGAGATAAAAAAGCTTTTTGATGTAAGTTTTTGGTTCAACGATGATTGTTAGTAAATAAATTGTGAAAAGGAAGACCAAAGAAAATGTCCTTGTGCTACAATACTGTAAACCATGTGCAGTAGTACAGCAGATTTCTTGACTATATAACCATTTTACATTTATGAATATTTTGATGCCTTTTCAATATTCCATTTAATATATATATATAAAAGTAATGGTTCAACAGAAATCTTGGGATAGCTTATTATATGAAAACAGTTGTGTTATTGTGGCTAGTTTTATTCCATGTACATGTTTCTCTTGATTTCACATTTTATAAATAAAAAATGTATTATTTCCAATTGTGAAAATTTCTTTCCAGCTCATGGACATGAAGATAAAGAGAAAAAAGGTTAGTAAATGCCTGGAATATTTCTTCATTTCTTATCCTATGATTGTGGGTATATAGTTGTAACAAATCCACAGTGACTGAACCTATTGTGGCAACAGTTTAATACATTGCCTCAATAACAGTTACTTAAATCTCCTTTTTCTAAAAAGGACATATACAATTTTGAAGTCTTAAATAATGATAGATATGCTTTACCAAGAGCTTAAACCATTATGTGCAGAAAAGCCATAGCACAGACTTTAGTGAATATTTCACAATATTAGCTGTTGTATTTGTAAGCATTGTTGTTAATTAAATATAAATGGACTTTTTTAAAGATGGCTGATGATGCTGTCATTTCCTATCCTCGTAAAGAGGATCGGAAATTCATTACCATTATTTATGAAGATCATGGAGGGATGTCTTTTACAAGACCGTTTTGTAAAGACGACACTCTGCAGGTAAAAATATTATACATTTTTCAACTCGCCTGACCTGAGGGGTCAAGCAAGCTTTTCTGATTTTGAAGTGTCTAGCATATGTCTGTCTCTCTGTTGTGTGTTTCTGTGAACTTTCCACCTTTTCACCTTCTCCAGAACCATTCGGCTAATATCAACAAAACTTGCCACAAAGCATCTTTGGGGGAAGGGGACTCAGGTTTATTTATATGAATCACCACACCTTCTATTAAAATTTTTAGCTCACCTGAGCTGAAAGCTCAAGTGACCTTTTTTGATCACCTGTTGTGCGTCGTCTGTCTGCCTGTTTGTTCATCTGTTAAATTTTAACATTTTCAACTTCTCAAGAACCACTGGGCCAATTTTAATCAAAATTGGTACAAAATATCCTTTGGGTAGGAGAGTTTAAATTGTTAATATGAAGGGTCTAGCTCCTTTACAAGGGAAGATAATCAAGAAAAGGCAAAAATAGGGTGGGGTCATTAAAAAATCTTCTCAAGAACCACTGGGACAGAAAAGCTGAAACTTATATGGAAGCATCCTGGGGTAGTGCAGATTTTAAATTCTTCAAATCATGACCCCAGGGTAGGGTGGGGCCATGTTAGGGAATCCAACTTTTACATTGAAATATATAGAAAAAACTTCAAAGATTTTCGTTTCAAGAACCACTGAGCCAGAAAAGCTGAAACTAATGTGGAAGCTTTCTTGGGTAGTTTAGGTTCTAATCATGACCCCTGGGGGTTGGGTGGGGCCACAACAGATATTATAAGAGGGAAAATTTGGTGAACAACAGCAAGGCTGAAGTTACTCAGATGAGCACTGTGGCCCATGGACCTCTTGTTAAAAATTATTATTTAATGGCATACTTTAAAAATGTTTTTTCAATAGCCATTGGGCCAAAAAGATAATACATAAAGGCTTTGTTAAAAGTGAAAAATGAGTTTGTTCCAACCATGCTACATGTAGAGTTACAATGGGCAAACAACTTTTAATATAGATACATATAGGAACAAATTTTTGTAAAGTCATCCTTCTTAAGAACCTTATGGCTGGAAGAGTTGAAACTTGCATGAAAGATTAATTATACAGTCTAGACTTTAGTTTGTTCATATCCTGACCTCAGGGGTTTAAGAGGGGGCTATGATACATGATCAGTTTTATTTAAAAATATATTGTAAAAAATCTGAAGAAAAAGAGCTAAGACGTAATTATTCATATTAATAATAGAAGCATCTTCTGGTTGTGTAGGTTGAAGTTTCTTCAAAATATGAATGTGAAAGGATGAAAGTTTTACACCGGAATGGATAGGGGAAAAGTTGCGAATGTAGAACAGCATGACCATTGTTACAAATTTAGGAGAAAATTAGAAAGAAATTTTGAAAACCTCATTTAGATTTTCATAATCCTTTTCACTCCAGGGACCTTTGTAAGGTCCCAAATGGACAGATGAATTCAATGTCTAAAAACTGTTATCTCTTTGCACATTAATTCATAAGAAAAAAATGCATAAAGGAAACAAGGAGACCTACTACCAAGGTCATGAAATTCAAAACAAAATAATTTCCTTTATTTCTGTGCAAAGTGAAGAGCTGTAAGCAAAGTGCCTCCTAAATTGACTTGTTGGGCAAACCTAAACTGTGACTTGTTGGGCAAACTTTTTTTGGATATTTGACATTGTGGTAAAGATGAAGATTTTCAAATGGGTTTCTCAGCAGTCAATATTTTGATGTTTCCACTGAGTTACGAATTACTTTTTTGGATACTTTCAGAGTATTTTCACATATATATGCAGGGAAGTAGAGGCAGAAATCCTGCCACCTGTCTTCCACCTGGAGTGTGTGAATCCACTGAAATGTCTGGTTGAAGGTTGCAAACATTGTTATGAGCTGGAAGCCAGCCACCATGAGTTTATTTCTTCACTGCCAGATGTATTAATTCTTAAAGAAGGGGCAAGTATAATAATGGTTTTTATCATTTTGAAGGAAATTTGCAACATTTATAGAACAAAAAAAAATTAATCAATAGTTTCTCAGGCACCGCTGCATCAGGTCAAACACTGCCGCATTGATAAAATTTATTGACATATTGAAAAGGTATGAGTAATATACTCTGACATAATTTTTCCAAGTTGTAAAAGAAAACTGAGTTACTCCCCTTTTCATAAATGCTAATAGATAGACGCTTTTATTAGATAAACCAATACATTTCTTGTTAATACAGTATTTTACGAATTAACTTTGTTTGAAATAATATTATTTAAAGCTATAATTAATGAGAGAACAATAAAAGTAAGAATCAGTTGATATCATTTTTTTAAAGGTATAACACCTGCTTTAAAAAAGAAAAAAAAGAAAAGAACCTGTCTGCTGCATTGAATTTTGAAAATTTTGGCCTGAGAAACTATTAATTAATTTTTTATGGCCTTACTGGTACTTCTTACTGACTGTATAAATTATCAGGTAAACACTTGCAGTCATACTTTTTCATTGAAAATTCAATGCAAGTTATAATAATTTTCAAGACACTTTAAGACCTTCCTTTTCTTAAATTACATGTATAACTGTACATGTACAGTAGAATACTATAAATAAGGTCAAATGTAACACATCAGAATGCTAGATTTAAAGTAACACTGAAATTTTTAAAAGCTTAAATTAATGTTTAAATGTTTTATTAAAAAGTACCTATTACATATGTATGTTGTTTTTCTAGTTTAACAATAATATTAATACACATAATGGTACATGTTATGTTTCAGAACTTCTTAATGGATGATACAATGACCAATTTTGGAAATGTGCTCATGTAAGGGACAGGACCTTCACCACCAAAACGTGTATATCTACACTAGCTCTAATTATCTCTACACATGTAGTGTGTTGTTCATCATTAAATACATATTGTTTCCATAACTTTTATGATACATGTATTATGTACATTGAAATGAATATTATCATGTACATTAAAAGAATTGCTCAAAGAAAATTTAAAAGGAAATCATTTTAAGGTAATTTGAATGTTAGCCACAGATCAGTTTCTCTTATTTCTTTTTTATTTGTCACAATGGGTTATCATAATTTCTTCTCCTTTAATTGTTTTTACGTCTCTTCTTACTGGTATTTATATGCAATAGTTTTCCTTACATGAAAGAAGTCCTCAGTTGTTTTGTTTTATATTTTGATTTAAATGAATAAATGTGTTAATTTTATGAAGTTTTGTTTAGTTTTTACCTTACCTGAGCTTTTTCTGATCGCATTTTGTCTGCCGTCCATCTGTAAACTTTTCACATTTTCGACTTCTTCTCCAGTAACAAAGGGCCAATTTCATCCAAACATGTAACAAAGCGTCCTTGGGTGTAGGGGATTCAAGTTTGATCAAATGAAGTGCTACGCCCTCTTTCAATAGGAAATAATTAAGAAATAGTAAAAATCTGGTGATGTCTTTCAAAAATCTTCCTCTCAAGAACCAATGGACCAAAAAAATTGAAATTTATTTTGAATCTTCTTTACATAGTGAAGATTTAACTTTCCTCAAGTCATGAGGCCAGGAGTAAGGGTGGGCCCACAATGGTGGATCAAAGTTTTACATACTAGGAATATATTGGAAAAAATTGCAAGAACTGCAAAGTCATGATTGGTCATATTTATATGGAAGCATCCTCAGGCAGTGTAGAATCAAGTTTGTTCAAAATATGACCCATGGAGTTGGGTGGGACTTCAATGTACAATAAAAGTATATCATAGGTATACACAGGAAAATTATTTGAAAATTTCCTTCTCAAGAAAAGCAAAGGCATGATTGGTCATATTTTTATGGAAGCATCATTAGGTTGTGTAGACTCATGTTTGTTCAAATCATAACATCTGCACATAGGGTGGGGCCGCAACAGGGGATCAAAGTTAAACAAAGGAATATAAGGGATATCGATAAAAATTTTATTATGGATTAGTCATTAATTCTGAAGCATTCTCATGTGGTGAAGATTCAAATCATGTCCTTGGGGTAGGGCAAGGCCTCGATAGATTGAAGATCAAATGTTGGTATCACTTATATATTTAAACTTTTTAATAGTAAACCAATTTTCCAAATGCAGATATCTAATTGCATTGAATTAAAATATAGATGTTAATGAAGAAAGCCTGAATAAAGGCAACATTTTTAGTGAAAGATACATTGTATATGTTTATTTAAAACAACCTGTAAAAATTGCTTTGCAAATTTCTACAACCTTGTTCTTAATCGCATGGAGTATCCTATTACGGTAGTACAAAACAGGTAGCAAAATTTTTCCTCAAATTCATCTCTGAAACTATATTCAAATTTGAAAAGAAGTGAACAGAATGATAAGACTTAACTACTGGCCCCAAGACAATAAACTGAGAATAGACTTAGTCAAAACTTCAAACCTAATAACTTAAATTTTGAAATAATTTTGATAATGAAACAAAATTTTCATCATGTATTTGAATTTAAATGTTGTATAAAATTGCGGAATTTTAAGCAAATAGATTAGATAAAACTCAAGATGTTAAAATTCAAAATTTTGACTTAAGTCTATTCTCAGTTTATGGTCTTGGGGCCTGGTTATATACATTTTTGAGACCAAAATAATTTCAATGACTAAGAAAATTAAAAATCAAATTCAAGATTTTAATGTTTGAAATCAAAAGTTACACTTTTTAAATAACAGATAATGATGCATGTAAATGACAAAAAATATATGCTAAATGTAGAATCTGAAATGTTCCATTAAATCAGGGACCTATAATAGGGCCCTGATAAGTATATGCATTCATTTTTTGTTCTTTTTTTTTTTTTTACACAATAGATAAGTACATGTCATAGCTAGTTTACCATATTTCTGACAAAGATAATTAATAGTAAATATTGGAGTGTTTTTAATATATTTTTTCTGGTCTGTTTTAGAAGAAATGTGTTCTTCTAAACACAGTTTAGAGTTATAGTTCATAATGCGCTCTTTTATGAAAAAGTCCGAAAATGTACACAAACTTGGACAACAAGAATGTAAAGAAAATGCTGAGTGTGGTGTTTTGTTCTACCTTAATACAGGTGAAAGTATTTACACTTCCCTGAAAATGAGCCCCTTGATTTGTCCAGTGTTAACATTGGTGTTTCCACTACCCGCTGTTGAAAACTTCACCATAAGAGTGGTGTTTTCTTCCAAGGCAAATGAAGTACTATGCAGGCCTCCAACTCCATACCTTGTTGGGCCACCATTGACTCTCAACACTGCAGTGTACACGGTGTCTCTTAACAGGAGCACTGGTGTGGGGAACAGAATGGGAATACTGAGTTCATCAGAGCATTGTTCTTTTACCTGTGTTTTACGCAGAAGTGTTTGACTGTTTTCGGTGTATAGCAAAACAGAAAGAGGCCACATGCCCCTGCTCTACCATACACAAGAAGACCCTTCAGTTTTATGTTGTCAAGGTTAATACAGAAGGAAATTCTGTCACCATCTAGAGTGTTGTCAACTAACCATGTGCTCTCATTACTGATATTCCTAAAGCGGTTGACAACAATGTCATTGCATGTTATACTATGTCTCTTTTTAGTGTATTGAAGAGGGAGTGTGTCATCTAATGTGGATAGCTGACGCATAACGAGAAGAGAAAAACCATCTTCAAGTATACACTTTGTCACTATGTGGTCAAGGAAAAAATCCATCGACATCCTTCCAAACCTAACATGCGGAATCACTTCCTTCCATAAAGTGACCTTTCTCTCTTCCTCTCCAACCATGCTTATCCACAGGTTGATGTTCTGGAAAAGACACAGAGACTCTCTCTTCTGATAATGTCAATCAATAGACCAAGGGGCAATTCGAAAAAATCCACTGCAGCTGAGCCAAAAAGATCTTCCATGTGGATGTCTACAAACTGAAGGCATTGTGTCTTTGTGGTAGCAATTTGGTTGTTGTGTGCTATCAAAAGAATCTTCAGTGAATTCTTGATGGATATGCTTTCCTGCATGAAGTTTATACACCTCTGAATCAAGTCTTCCACACCATAATAATCTGCAACTTGGTAAATTTCCTCTATATTTTCAATCGAAGTATCAATATGAGAAGTGTACAAAAATTCTATCATGGATTTTGTCACATCTGTAGAGTGTATATCACAAGTGATGACATTGGATGCTGACTCCCAATTCTCACTGAGTCGTGCCTTAAACCAATCTGAACCCAAAACCAACACTATTCTATGGGCATGAATTGCCCCATCTCTAAGTTTGATATTTACATCACAGTGAAGCTGGTCCTTAAAAGATTCAATCAGCTTATTACCCAGTGCAGCCATCAAGGTTTTCTGAAAAAGGAAAATTTTTTTTTTAAAAAATGATCTTATGTGGTTAAAGGTTGAATGTTATATATTACATATTTTCCACTATTCTGTTTAAAAAGTTACATTTGGAAATCTTGTACCTATTTATTCTTTCTCTTTAGTAATGGGCAATATGTACTAGAGGTGTTTATGTTGCCTTCAGAATGACACTTAGGGATTACTCTGCATACGATATATCCGTCTGTTATACTTTTAATCTTGGATACTGATAGAGGGAGCAATTTCATTTTTTTACCCAATACCTGTACATTTTATTGCTTGAAACATGCTTGTGTAAATGACCTGGATTAACGACCTTATGACCTGTGACCTACTTTTTAGAATACAGTTATTGTAAAAATTGTCTAAACAGGACATTATTCTGAAATCCTACCTGCCTAATATGAGGTAAAATTCATTTCCTTTCAGTAAATTATGTTTAATTCCTAATGCTTTTTAATCCAGCCACTAGTTCCATTAAATCAGTGCTGTTCAGAAAGGGAAGTTTCACTGTGTATATTTACCTGAAAGAAGCAAGTTTGTGTTATAATTAGCATGTATACAGATTGCCATGAAACATTTGGAAAAGTTAATCCACCATCACCATCTTGTTCTTAAATCTATCTTTCAATAATACTTTAATCTTTTATTTTTCCATTGTTTCAGATTTCGAAAAATCATATGCTTTGAAAACTTCTGAATCAATTATATGTTTATGACCTCAGGATACTTTACTTTCTTCAAACATTATTACTACACAAACTGAAAATCATTCCGTTTGTTGTACGAAAATTAAGCTGAATTGGTATATACTGATTTGTTCAGAATTCAAGACAAATTATAAAGGATGACAACTTTTTATGTCTGTAATTTCAATTTTGTTATTCACTTTAGCTTTGAGAGTAAGGAATCGCTCATCTATTTGTCATGTTATGATAAATAGATTATTTACTCTACAGCAGTCTTCCTAGCTGTGGTTGTTATTGTTTGTTTTCTTTTTTTGAATTATATTGCGAGTATTCAAATGAAAAAAAAAATCATCCTTAAGATTTATTTCAGTATTTTAATGATGCTAAAGCAGGAGACACTTGTATTACATGTACTTGGAAAATTCAATCTTGTATTCAACAAACCTAAGGCACTTGAGATATTAGACACACAGAATTACTCTATGCCGAAGTTACAACATTAAAGCAGATTACTTTACAATTAGTTTAATTAAATAAAACACACACTAAAAAAATGCACACAAACTTAAAGTACTGTAAAAATGTAAACAATTGCAATTTAATTTTACCCGGTATACATTTTATGTGCGGCATGACCTTTTATAGTGGATGAAACTACAAGTAAATTAGAAATCAACAACTACAGAGGATTACTACAGAGTTATGTCCCTTAACCCCCTTCCCCGCAGTCACGCATTTTAACGCATATACCGTTGCTCTGTTAACACGTAAAGTTTTGATGATATGATACTGAATGATAATATGATAAATTTTTGTAATTCTATTCTAAAATATTTCACAAATAAGAATATTTTTCCTCATTTTAATATGTCCGAATCGTCGATTTATTTGACGAAACTTCGGGTGCGAGAAAAGAAAGACTTTCTATTGACGCTATATAAGCTCGATCACCACTTGGACCACTGGGTTGGTGATGTAGAAGTCTCCCAATCCTGTGTGAGATGGGACCCTTGATCCAGAATTTATCAAATTCGACAAATGGAAAAGTTTTTTATGTAACTGTTTGATAAAATGCGTGTGCAAAATTCGAAATTGACAGAAGGAACAGATAAAATTACGACAGAAGTTAATTCTCGTACGGCTGAAGAAAAAAGAGGTTTTGTTCATAGAATAAAGCCTTGTTCTGATTTACATGTAATCTTATTTCTTGTTCGATTTAAATTCAAATTCGTAAAAATACAACCTGATTTTTTCCGCCTTACACAGCAATCAAATAGAATACACATATACAAAAATAAAGGGAAAAAAGGAACTGTCAACAATATCATGTTGAAAAAGAAAGAAAAATGCTCATGTGCTGATGGTGGGGTCACCACATTTTCTAGGAGGGTCCAAAGTCATTTTTTATTTGCGTCAGTATATATGGGTAGATATGAAAGGAACTTAATAAATTAATGTGGTAAAAATGAAATTCTTCCCAGGAGTGAAAGAGTCTGTCGTTACTGTACTTCAAGTCTAATTGAGGATGAAATACATTTTTTGCTAGAATGTCCATTGTATAATGATTCTAGAGAAGAGTTTTTAAACAAAATCTTTAAAACTTTTCCAAATTTAATACTGCTTAATAATGTGGACCTGTTTACATGGATTATGTCAAATGAAGATTCTAAGTTTGTTGTTTTATTAGGCCAACATTTAAATGAAAATTTTAATATGAGAAAACAACATAGTACAATATAGGCATATTACAGTCATTATACATAATTATACTATTTGTATACATTTTATGCATCCGAAAAGTTGACAGCTAACTCTCTGTTCAATAAACAATTGTTTGTTTGGTTTATTGTTATTTATGACTGTGATTTCGGACATTGTTCATCTCTATGCTCCATTGTGGGCCCAAATTGGTTGAATAAATATTCTATAATTCTATACTTTTAATAACTCTGCAAATTCCAGGGGGGTCCGGACCCCCTACCCCCCCCCCCGATCCGCACATGTGTATGTCTACACTGCATACACTAGAAATAATAAGTTTAAGAAAAACTCTAGGCAAAGTAAACTTTCCAGAGGAGGACGACGATGTGGTCCAGTGTGATTCTTCTACAAGCTATATGTTTATGTTATACACAGAAAGGACATTTGACATCCGTCTTGTGGATGGACAGTTAACTCGTGACTTATTTGCTACCTCGATCTGCGCTACCCTTAGATACATGAATGAAGAGCAATGCATTTAGATGCCTAAAACTCCGAAATGGGGGAGGGGGTTACACATCTTCGATCAACAGCTATATAAATTATTTCCTACATTTCATCTCCGAAATTATGTTTAGCATTTTTTTCTTCCATTAGCATCTTGTTAAATATAAGGATTGATTAGAAATTATTCACTACATTTCTTCTCCGGAATTATGCTCAGCATTTCTGGCGTTTTTTTTTTTTTTTACGTTTCCGGATTTTTTTTTTAGGGGGGGGGGGGGGGGCTTAATATGCATCTTATGTCTACCAAGTTTATGAATAATCGATCGGTCTAAAAAGTCAACTACACTTGAATTATATTATGTCAGTGATTGCATCTAATTTATGTCTGTTTTTTAAGTTTAAGCAACTAAGGGTGTGAAATAAATCTGTATCAGACCTGTAGGGCTGATACGACTATTATGACGTCAGGCATATCGCATGCACAAAGAAGCTGTATTTCTTATTAAGTATGAAATAAACCAAGATATATGCATTTTGGTGAACTTGATTACTATCCTTGAATGTAAATATAACGAGAGGCCCATGGGACACAATGCTCACCAGTCATTTTTTTGGTTCTACTGTTCTGCATCATATTTTTTCCAATATACATGTATTCCTAAGTAAAATTCTGATTGACATTTGTAGCCCCATCCTAACTATAAAAATCTACATTAAAATGATTCATCATAGCTTTGCTGTTCTTCTGAAGAGGGCTTTCAAACATTTCTCCCTAAGTATAAATCTATTTTTGGCCCCTCCATACCCAATGGTACAATGCTCTGAATAATAAACTCTCAACACTAGTACCTTAAGACATAACTTTAAGATTTTCTGGCCCAGTGATTCTTGAGAAGATTTATTTTTATATATAAATGTTATTGTTAAACTTTGATTTCATATTGTGACCCCACCTTTTAAATTTACTAGATGCACATCTTTATTGGCTGAATAAGCAGTGTATGCATTTTCAGGCAAATCTGTGCAGAACATGTCTGGACAATTATCACAGAAAGGTGGATAGGTAGATAGTATTATTTAAATATACACACCATTGAAACTTTGTTTGCTGGGGGTATGAACATTTTCTTGACATTTATTTCATCATACCTTACTGAAGTATTGCCTCCTTCTCAGCCTTCTCTGTTTTCTTCTTTTGACACCATCGTCATCTAAAAGCCTTACCAAGTCTCTTGAAATACACCTATTTGTGTAATGAATGTATAAGGTGAAGATAACGAAAAGTGATTGATTCCAGAAATTCTGTATATAATACAATTATGTGAAGAGGGCATAAAACATAGATCCCTGAAAATTCCAGAGGTGGGATTGGATGCCTTAGAGGAGTAAGCATCCCCTGTTAACAAAGGTAACTCATATAAACCATGTTCTTTCTATTTGTCAAATAAAAAATATATGTTCACATGAATTTTCAGTCTATCACTAATCAGGCATATACACTGCTAAGTTTTGTGATTCTAAAGGTTAAAATATCAAATGTATACCTTGTAATATTCATATGAAATTTCATTTTCAAAGTCCTCCTTAAGTTTTCAGATCCTGTACATCCATTATTCTGAACTTCTATCTAAATTTAAATCATAATTGCTTTGTCAGCAACAGCAAATATTTAATTTCATTTACTTTAATAAACTCTGCTATTTTTTAAAAAAAAAATGGAAGTATATATATATATATATATATATATATATATATATATATATATATATATATATATATATATATATATATATATATATATATATATATATATATGAGCTTTTATCCTGAATTACCTGTGCAGTTTTAAAAAGTTCTTCTAAATCAATATTTGCACCCCTCCGTCGCAAACCCAATTCAGGAATTATCTTCCTCTTTAGCTGATTGTAACTGCAAAATTATATGCACAAATATTTAAAAATACATTGTATAGGTGGTTGTTTTGCTATAGAAAGTGTGCACAATTTGAATCATTAGAAATATTTGTTAACCATGAAAGTATTTAATATGTAACTGTACAAAAGATGATTTATTGAAGTTTTATCAAGCTATAAATAAACAAGATTTTAATCAAAATTCGTCCTGCATTAAATTCTTTGTAGATAATGAGAGGGAAAACAGATCTCAGTATAACTTGATCAGTGTAAGATGTACATGACCCCCAGAAAGTCTAAAAAATTAGAAAATCCTTAAGTTTCTTGAGTTCATAACAAAAAAATCTATTTACCTTATATTACAATTAAATCTTCTTTGGATCAAATAATGTATAAGTCTGTAACTATAACCTTTGAAAAAATAATCTTTGATCTTTTCTTCTATATCTGAAAAGCACAGAAATACCCTTAAGATAATCAACAGATACATACTGTTTGCTTAATTATAACAAACAACAAAACACAAAATAGTATTCTCCAAACCATCATCAGCACACTGTTTTATGTTGGGGGATTCAAGTTCAAGCTTATCTTCTTTCTTCCTTTCATTAGACAGATTAAATTGAAAGAACTATATATGATAAGTGTCTAAAATGGCCCCTTGAACCTAATGTCTTAATTTTACTTTATATATAGGTTAACTGTGCACAGCTATATTCCTGAAGTTTAACCGTGATTCAAACTTTGATCAAAACACCGTTCATTTAGAATTATAACATCATGAAGTATACCTTTTCCCACCATTTTAACATTTCTTGAATAAAATTCCTTATTTTCAGACAATTTTCATTCCAAAAAATATTGAGCACAGACTTGAATAAACTTTATATTTTCATCAAAGACGTATCTATTCATGACTGATTTAATGACAGAAAAATTTTGCTTGTTCTAAGCTGCGCCCCATGTTTCCTGTAGGAAAAAAACATATAGGAAAATGCACAATTTGGTCCATGTTTGAATAAATTGCAAAAAATAGCATCAATTATGATGTCATTTACAGCAACTGAATGCATATAAATGAGAAAAATGTATTAAAAATATATGTATCTCACAATTTGGTCCATGTTTGAATAAATTGCAAAAAATAGCATCAAATATGACGTCATTTACGGCAACTGAATGCATATAGATGAGAGAAATGTATTAAAAATATATGTATCGCTAACATAAACTCTTTAACAAAATAAAACAACAATTTAACATATCTTAATTACTTTTAACAATGTTGATTTATGGGGGCCAAAACTGACTCTTATCATATTATATAGTCCTTACCTTATTCAGCCATAGTTTGAATGATAAAAATTGGAAATATGAGCTGGATTTGGATCAGGAAATCAGGCCCGTCACGATGATAAAAGTGAGCGATTTTCTTTCTCCTCTCTCCGCAAATTAGGAAAGCTGAGTTACTATAAGTATTAGCTACAAATCAAACTACTACATGAACCTCTTTTTACCATATTCCCAGTGGCAGATTTAAGGGGTGCACTCGACGCACCCCCCCCCCCCCCAAACAAAAAAAATTGTCAAAGCTAGTGTAAATCATAGTTTCGTCAAGAAAATGTAAACACACTCATTTTCTCTAGAAACCAGGAGCTTTCGGGGGCTTCACCTCCTGGGCTCCCAACAGGGCTTCACCATGACCCACTTGGGGCCTCAAGGCAGCCCCAAGACCCCCTGCCTACTTCTTGCCCCCCCCCCAACTTCAATTCCTGGATCCGCGCCTGTACACACACTTAATAATTTACATGTTAATGTACACGTAGGCTTGTAGCATTACCTCTTATCTCAGATTGATCATTCTCAGTAAAATTCTGTTTGAACTTTGTTTCTCACATGCACTTTTAAATGAGTATGAACATGTTATACTAATTTTAAGAAAACTGTCAACCCTCGGAATAAAATGAATTAGGAAATCTTATCATGTTTATTATACTAATAATCGTTCCATTACAGAAAACTGTAATATTACGAAAATCCGTAACATTATAGAAAACCGTAACGAAAATCCGTAATATAACAGAAAACCGTAATTTTACGAAAATCTTTATATGATTTAAAATCATTGCAAAAAGATCGTTAAATTACAAAAAAAAAATTAATTGTGTTGTAGTCTTCTCTTGTACACCTAGTGTTCAGCAGTGTACAGGAGAACGGTATACTAGAATTGCCCTCATTGCTGACTCTGTACATATCAAAGACATATCCAATTGATTTTTTTTTGGGGGGGGGGGGGGTTACAGTTTACACGATCCCTACCAACAATGTCAATTTCTTACAAGGGAAAACCGTTTGTAGATTGCTTTCCTAAAATAAACAGATTTTGACGGTTGAGGTGGTCGGAGGGAACTTCAAATTTACGAAAATCAAAAGCCATAAAAACAAAAAGAATGGTTGCGGTGGTTGGAGGGAACTTCAATTTTACGAAAATGAAAAGCCATAAAAATAAAGATATATAAATAAACTGAAGAACACTTTATCATTTTGCAATGTGTAGTAATGATAGCACACTACTCATCGCTCTCTCATAAGTGACCTAGTTTGTATACATGTATACATTGGATACAGTGGATATATTACAACTGCTGTAACAATTAAAATAAAAATACAAACCCACGTACAAAAACATTTTTCACAACAATCAATGTTTTTCCCTTAAAAATTATCATCATTTAATTTACATAGACCGCCTTGACCGATTCCTAACTCATCTAGAAGGGAACGGGACCAGTTTGCCTATTCAAGTTCGTATAAATCTAAAGTATCCCGCCGAGTCAAACATCGATTATCATGCACGTAGAATCACGGGGCAATTAAGAACGGCTAGCCCCTTTTTTTTTCCAACATAACATATAACTTTAATAAAAAAAAAAAAACTTGGTTGCTCCCCTCTTTTTGTTGTAGCATAGTTAAATCATAGTTAATCGGTATGTATTGAAAAATAAATTGGCTGTGAAAGAAAGTTGTAACCTAACCCCCCCCCCCCCCGCCCACCCACCCCTCCTACGAAATAGGATAAATTTTTCGAATTCCTTTTTATTGTTTGTCAAGGTTTGTTCTCGTAATTTGTCTTTTTTTGTCTTTTTGTCTTTTTTCTGCCCCCCCCCCCTTTCAAAAATGATACTAGATTCTTGTCCTCTTCTTCATCGTCGAAATTTTACCAGCTGGGTTGTAAAATTATATCCACGGGATGTCAATATCATCGTCTATGGTCTATGTAGCTCCTTGAACAGCCTAATACCTGACCTAAGTGACCTTCTTCATAAACAGAGTCCATCGTATGTGACTGTAATAAGATAAGCTTAATTGATCATCGTTTTTTTCGAGCAATAATTCTAATAGACTAGCTGATGTTATAGGGCTCGAGTCTGGAATTATGATATTAATTTTTAAAAATATAAACGGACAGGTCTTACTGAAAATTGTTAAGTTTGGTAATGTTCAAGTTGTTTTTCAGGAAATATCATAAATTTATTTACTACAAATATCAAATCCTGATATTCTTTTGAAATCTCGAATACTTTTAAAGAAATATCTCCCATCCACTTTTGCATCCGCATCTTAAATGACACAGATCTGCACAGAAGTATTTATCGATCGTATCAATAAAATAAGAATTGATACATATGTTCCCTATATTTTTTCTTATTTTTACGCGTCTGATACTGTTTTTGCTTTAAAATAAAAGGAAATCCCCACATGCTTATCATGTTTAGTCGTTTAACTTTTTTTACTGCATTTAACTCTCTTATGTCCCAACTTTTTCTTGCGAAGTGTTGCATTTACATGACAGTGTGGAAGTACATGTATTATCGGCAAGAAAATCATCCTTTTTATATAAAATTCTAGAATATTAAAAATGAAATACAATGTATGAAGAAAGAACATTATCTGTTTCAAAAGATTCGGGTTCCTAGTGCACATGCATTCATTACTCCAGCATGCTAGAGGTTCACGGCGAGATACTGTTGACTTGGAGCCACGACGCGTTGGGACGTAAACCAAGTAATGCATACATGTATACTAATTAATTGCCACAACTTTTCTACAAAGTATGGGTGTAGTAGTAAGCGCCTTTTAAATTAATATAAATCATTTCAATCAATATACAAAAGGTGTCACTCAAGTAATTGTCAAGTATCATAGTCATGTTCATCTTTGAACAATATAATTTTTCCTCTATTTTCGTAATTATGCAGAATGATATACGCTTGGGAAGACCTGCAAAGTCCGTAGAACTCCGGGGGGGGGGGGCGGGGGGGGGGGGGTAGTATAGTATTTTGCTATAGTAAATTTTCCCTTAGATGCTAGTTGCTCCCCCCTTTTTTTGTTGCTCTTAGGTCAAGCACTGGCAAATTCCAGAATTTGGACAGTTAGTTAAGTTGTTTTTTTTGACTTGTCTGATTATTTTTGCGAAGTCCCCCCCCCCCCCCGCACACACACACTTTTAAAGCAGTTGCCACGGACCTGACTGCTGTTGCATTGAACGATGAGGTGGATTTTCTTTTTATTAAAAAAAATCTTTTGTTTGTTTCTTTACGACTGTTTGAGACTTAATCTTTGTGTAATTTTACTTCAGGTGTGAAATACCCGTAATTTATGAAAAAGCTGAAAAGAAAGCAGATCGAATTTTAGCCAATATACCCCCTCAAAACAACTTTCATTGCAAGCGAAGATAGATTGAAAATCGACATCGCATTTAATAAACAGTGTAAAAGTCACAGCATGGGGGCGAGGGAGCACACGTCATTAGAGGAATCTGAAGGTTTAAAACGTAGTTACAATGTTTGTCATCAATTAATCTGGCCGACTTAAATGACAGCACATGTGTGCGCGTACAATGGAAGAAAACTGAATTCCTTGATCCCGATTTCAAAAATTATAAATTAAAATATTATAAACAAAATTAACGTTGAAAATAATTAAGCAATAGGCACAACATATAGATTGCAAATACAAAGACATGAGATTTTTCCAAGTGGATGCATATCAGCAAGAAATATTGAAAAAAAATCTAAAGGATCAAAAATAAAACATATTTGAATTAAAAAATGCTAAGCGTATGGATAAACTCAAATCACTCTGAGAACATGGGTTCTGATATATTTGTAAGGGTTCTAAATATGTTATTTTTAAACTGATGTATATTTACAGCTCACACCACCGTTCATACTAGTAATTCGATATGTAATCCTCGTTATGTTATTACCCTCTACAATTACTTTGTATACATACTAGTATACCTCCTGCTGACCCGCTAAAATGTGTAACATTGCTGTTGACTCCTGAGTGTGTGCTCCTGATTGTCAGGAGCGAATCAAAAACCCGGTAAATATATATCTAGTATGACTTTGATTTTTTACACTTGGACTGATAACTTTACTGGATTATTAGATGAACATTTGGAATTTTTTGATTTTTAACGATGCAATTATATTATATAATATTATACTTTGATAATGTGTAACATGTTTTAATAATGTATATGTAATGTTTAGAATGTATTAAAATTTTCGTATCTGAGCAATGAATGGTTTATATTTGAATTGAGTCTAAAATTTTAACTCTGATTTTTTGTAAGAATCAAGTTATGTTTTAAAATCCTCAATTTCGCCTCGGTAAAGAACCTCATATTTTCTTCTTTGTTTCGATGCATTTAATCAAAATGCATACGAAGTCACAGGTTAGCGAGAATCGAACAAGTTATCCACCGTAACATCTCGTTGTTTGAGACGAGGGTCCGATTTTTAGGGTAGATTTCGGAAGAAAAGTAGGGATTTCGGGGAAGACGGACCTATGTGACAAGCTTGAGGATACATTGAAGTTTTATGGAAAATTGATCCCATCCCTTGGAAAATTCTCTTTTAAGAATAATAGAACAAAATGTTCACTCACCCATCGCTGGCGGTACTTTCTTCTTGCGTTTCCATATTTTTCGATAGACGTCACTGACCAAAGTGACCACGTGTTATTAGTATCATTGAAACCTAATATAGTTCTGACGTCATAGTTCGCTACACACCATTCAGTTTCTTTCACTGCTTAATTTTGCCTTGCATTGCGAAAACTCGTAATATAGTCTCTCAAAACTAGCTATATTTACGAGTTTCCGTAATTTAACTATATAACGTAAAATAATAATATAAGAATAATATTACGATATTATGTAATATTACGATTTTTCGTAATATTACAAATGTTCGTAAATTACGATTTTTCGTATTGGACTGGACTGTATATTGAAGCAAATTAAAAAAGATGCCAATATGGATATAAAGATTTGATTGCTTATTCTTTAATATGTGTATAGAAGATTCTTTTTAATATACAGAATATTTATCATACTGTAATAATGATTTTATGAGTTTGTACACGCCAGACATCATAACTTTTTCATTTCACATGTTGAATAGTATCATTTAGTAAATCAAAAAAAAAAAAAAAAAAAAAAAAAAAAAAAAAAAAAAATTAAAAGAAGAAAAATATAATCGATCGGGGATGGAACCCGGGCCTCTAGCTTGCTGAGCGAGCAACATACACCTAGACCAGGGAGGCACCTACTTATACAGCAAATTAAAGGCAAACACTAGGTCACACACAAACGTCAGTAATGATAATGTCGTAAGAGTTATGCTTCTTTGACTATGTAACAAGAAGTTGATCTAATGACTCATATTGAGTTAAGTCTGATTAAATGCAAACATTAGGTCACATATAATGTTTATATTCAAGTTCGAAATTGTCAAAATTTTACACATTACATATATTGCCTAATTTTGCCTTTACTAAACAGTTCTAATAGATGTAATTAGAATGTAAAGTCGGCCGACAACCTGTATTATACTTAATAACTCTCCAAGCGACTTTTAAATATACAATAAATAAAAAAAAAGAACGGAACGGGACACTTTGAGAGAGGCGAGAAATGCCATAGGGAGTTATGGTATAAAATTTCTTTGCAAAAGCTCAAATTTTTAAAGCTTTTTGAGATATCGCCCGGAAACGAAAGTGTTACACACAGACGGAATTTGTGAATTTACGACCTTGAACTTTGACCTTTTGACCTCAAAATCAATAGAGGTCTTTCTTAGGCCACAGGGAGTTGTTATGTAAAATTTCATTGCAAAAGCTTAAAGAATTCGCGAGATATCGCGCGGAAACGAAAGTGTTATAACAGACAGAATTTATGAATTTATGACCTTGAACTTTGACCTTAAAATTAATATGGTTCTTCTTTAGTCAATAGGGAGTTGCTATGCAAAATTTCATTGCGAAATCTCAAAGGGTTCTCGCTGACAAAAAAAAGAAGACGCGATTTTCAAAATGTACCTAATTTGAAGACATAAAGTGCACCAGGTGCCTAGAGACTGATTTACTGATTTGTCAAGGCATGCTACAAATGTATATATATATGGACAGGCATCTAAACCGCATGTAAACAGAACAGATGATTTTTTTCACTGTTATAGAACTAGTTTCTACGGAGTATTCTTGTACATAATATTTATCCTAATAATTTTTTTTATACGGACGGTGGTCATGATTTTTTTCTTCTGGTAACAAATAGCATTGCGTCATTTTCATTGGTCGAACTGAGTTACCCGCTGACGCCGTATTCATGCATATGGGTAACTTCGGTCGTTTTCTGTTCAGCTGATTTGCATTTTATTTGTAAAAACTAAATACTATAAAATAAAAAGGTATGAATTTAAGTTGCAAAATTAAACATAGTTGATAAATTTCACGCCAGGAAAATCCACTGTGTCTTTCTATATATACAAGATATTTTCAGAAGTGATAAACTGATAATTCCCCGCAATGGTTTAAAAATACTCGTCCGTAATTTTTCGGGCGATAAAGTTTCTTCTTGGATGTAATTTTCCAGTGAAGAAATAAATTTCGCCTATTATTATCGACATTGATTTGTATATGAAAAATGCATTTTCTTTCTGCATAAAATAGATGTGTGTACACTATAATGGGTTGTAAACAAATTATTTTAAGGTATTTATGAACGGTCGAAATTAACCAGGTGGTCGAAGTTACACCATCCTAACCTATATCCTGACGTTAAATTCCATTTATATGGAAAGATTATGAGATTTGTGTAATGAAAAAAGTCATGTATCTATGTTTTCCTAAGTTTTTTGTTTGTTTGTATGTTGTTTAACGTCCCTCTCGAGAATTTTTCACTCATATGGAGACACCACCACCTGCCGGTGGAGAGCTGCAAATTTTGTCCTATACTCGGCACTTACGGCCATTGAGTAGTGAGGGATCTTTTTCGTGCCAGCACCTACTGCGACACGGGACCTCGGTTTATACGGTCTCACCCGAAGGACCGGTCTCCACGTCCCACAGTGGGATTCGAACCCGCGACGTAAGGATCAACTCCTTACACCGCGACTCTAGAGCATACGCTCTAACCACTGCGCCACGCGGGCGACATGTAGGCTAAGTAAATTACTGCATAGTTACACCATTTGATAAATAAATACATCAATCAGTGGACGGGTTTGTAACGTAGACTGTCTGATTTTAAATTCATTTATTTACCTTCGACCAGCCTTTAAATATTGCAGTATTGTTCCTTGCATCATGATAGGAAATTGATAATTGCAGTCTACCCTTCAAACGACTAAGGAATGCAAGGTTTTCAGACTTGATTTTTAAGAAAACCGATGCTTGGTCATTAAATAAAATTACCATTTTTTAATAGATCATTAATTATAAAACCAAAGTATGGCATTATTAACATTAGTCATGTCATACTTTGAAAATTTTGGGGGGGGGGGCGTCCCCCCCCCCCACGCCCCCCTTAAATCCGCCAGTGCAGGTGATAATGATATATTGCTACATAAATAAGGGAAGCTGACGATAGAGAAGTTGAAGGTATCACGTTTAACATAAAGTTTTGTTGTACGGTTACTGTAATTTCTGACATATTTCATTATATCAAATTAAATCTATAGTCATGATGCACATTTCATTTTATAAGATGAAACATGTCAGAAACAGAAAGGTCATTACCATTAACCTGTTTTTCAACTAAAATATCCAAATACAAAACAGATGTCTCAGATTATGTGGTGCCTTATTATTTCGAGTTCAAAGGGATATATCGAGTTAAATTGAACCAGGTACCGTTATTTTATTTGCCAATGCCCTTTTAACTTAATAATACTTTAGAGAAATCATTGGAATAACAAATAACCTAAATGAATAAGATACTAGTAAATTGAAAAAAATATCAACCTTCGAATAAAAATTATACCAGGTACTTGGTGTAGGCTATGTCCCCATTTTCCTTCTTTTTGGGTTCGACATACCCTTTTCCTATATTCACTATATGTAATCGATAAGTGAATATCACCCTTTTGTGAGCTCTTTTTAAAAATATCGTTTTCGACTGAATTAGATATTTTTAAAAAAGGCTTATAGAAATAAAAGGATTATATTAAATGCATACATTATAAGAATTCACGAATGGGGGAAAAAAAGTGTGTCAATCCCTAATTTTCAAAAAAAAATCGAATAGGAGGGGGCGCCCCCTTCCCTATAAATGCCTGTGAAATATATAGCTTACCTGTAGCCTACCTACAGGCGCGGATCCAACCCAGTCAAAAGAAAAAGAAAAGTAAAAAAAGGCAAAATCCATTTCCCAAACGTGAAAAACACTTATTTTGTGGTGGTGATGGTGGGGTCCACATTTTCTAGGAGGGGTCCGAAGTCATATTTTATTTGCTTCAGTATCTAGTTTTAATAACTCTGCAAATTCCAGGGGGGGGGGGATTCCAGACTACCCCCCTCCCTCCGAACCCCCCACCCGCTTTAGATCCGTGCATGAATGACCTAAATTGATGTGATGATTTGGCCATGTCTGTCGGCCTGCTTCAGATGGTAGAGCACCTTGACAAGTTGATGCGGGTTCCATATCCAATATCATTGCTATAAATTGCTAAAATATAGGCTAATTTAAAGGAAAATAATTACACAATACACGTATCAGGATATAATGATTTTTTCTGACACTTTTTTAGGTTACTAAATCAAAAATTGGTTAAAATGCTTTATTATCAAAAAGACACCGTTATCAATATGATAATAATTTTTTTTTTCTTTCTTTCTTTTTTTTTTAAAGTTTATTTCTCACAAGAAAATAGGGCTTACAATTCATTCATTTAATTTCACTGAAAAATCTTTGATAGAAGGACTACCAATTACACACACATCTTTATTTTTATTTAAAAAAGGTAAGTTAATCTATGGTATTTATTTATTTTATGAACCGTGTCAAATCGCACACAACTGAGCATACTTATCATTTTGTGCAAAGAAATGGCAATTGTTGTTTATATAACCAGGTGATTTAAATATTTATCTCTAACCAGGAAGTAAATTTAAGATCTCATTCAAGTCTCGACTAAAATCTCACTGCGACATTCCAAATTAAGTGTATGTAGAGGACATTTGTGTCAACTTAAGTAAAGGTATGTATGTAGGCAACAATTCTTTTCAGAAAGCATTTGTGAATTTACTCTGTCCTACATTTGCAAGAAATGTGAAACACTGAATCTATGTGTAAATCCATAGAGGCTTGTCTTCCGGATTGTTAAATGTAAAATAAATTAATAAAATTTTGAATCTACTGTAAATACACTTAAAAGTTGTTAAATTAAAGATTCTGACACTTTCAGTCAAGAAAAAACACGTTTAAAAAGACGTACAATACCTTGCAATTGTTCCACTATTAAAAATAATCTACGATATTACTGAAAGAATTTGGTTAGATTTTTTTTTCAGTCAGACTAATGGAACATTGTCTTACTACATATAGTTCAGAATGTAATACTTATTACATGTACAATGTATAAACAGTTTCTATAGGCATGTAAAGAACTTCTAAATGTTGATTTCAGATGGCTTTTTCCAAACCAAAAATTCCAGGCACTGCCCAACACTTTCTAGAGTGTGGTTCTGAAGATTGTGTGAGAAATTGTGAATTTTACTGCAATTCCTGCCATCAACAGATGTGTAAACAATGCAGAGACCAACATTTGAAAAGTAAAAAAAACAAGAACCATGAGGTGGTCCTTTATCAGCACCGCAGAAGACAACTTCCTGTGGAGAAATGCAAGATCCACCCCACCAAAGAAATAGATATTCTCTGCAAAGAATGCAATGTTCCTTTATGTTCAAAGTGTTCAACAATGCAAGAGCACCATGGGCATATATTTACAGATTTAGAAACTATTTACACAGATAAGTTTGAACTTTGCCAAAAGGAAATCTCTAAAATCCATAACTATTTTATTCCAACATCACAGGATTTACAGAGAGAAGTTCAGGAAGATGCCACTGAAGTTAAACAGATCATGGACAACATACGGACATCCATGAAGGCTGAAGCCGAGTCTCTCAAAAACATGGTGGACACAGTGCTCTCAGAAAAAATGGAAGAATTACACCAAATAGAGAAGTCACTACTGGAGAAATTAAAGAGCCAAGAGAAGACATTTAATGACTATATTGCCTATCTTAGTGATCTTGTTAAAGAGTTCCAGAGTTACCTGTCCTCTACTGAGCTCACTAACGTCACAACTAAACTTCCAGAGAACATAAAAATACAATCCATACCAGAAACCATGAAACCTGTCACACCAGAATTTTCTCTGCCTATTTACAGCAAAAAAGATGTTGCTAAATTACTGGGGAAGATAACTGTAACAGATAGAAAGGAAGAACTAAGAAGTGTAGAGCCAATGGAAATTCCTCCTACTGCTACATCAATGAAATCTACAAGTGAACAGACAAAACAAGATAAACATGTGAAATCTGACAAGAAACAAACAATGTCTCTATCTGTCTCTGTCACCAAGGTCAGGGAGTTCAAGGTACCAGGTGTTGATGATGTATACCATGTATCACTAGATCAATCAGACAGACTCTGGATCAGTGACATGTTTGGTAATCTTGTCCAAACAGATCTACAGGGGAATGTGATACAGAAGATAGAAACCAGTGATGGACTTGGTTACCACACAGTGACACAGGACGGGGATCTGATCTTTACAGACAAAGATAAGAATGTCATCAATAGGATAACACAGGATAATAATATCACTGAATTCATTGAAACTGGAGACTGGATACCACTCAGCATACACTCCTCCCACATCAACGGGGACTTACTGGTGGGGATGAAGAAGGATAGAGAGGCTAAAGTCACCAGGTACAACAAGACAGGAAAAGAACTACAGAACATACAGAGGGATAACAAAGGACAGGGACTGTATAGAATACCACGCTACATCACAGAAAACATCAATGGAGATATCTGTACATCAGACTATTGGAAAGGAGTAGTGGTGGTGAATAAATCAGGACAACACAGGTTCTCCTACACTGGTCAGGAGTCAGGGTTTGATCCCTATGGAATCTGTACTGATGTCCTCGGTCACATCCTGGTGTGTGATGTTATCAGTAACACTGTTCACCTCCTTGATCAGGACGGTCAGTTCTTGTCTCTATTACTCACACAACAACAAGGGGTAAAGTATCCCCGTAGTGTGTGTGTGGATGATGAGAACAATCTCTATGTAGGACAACTATCCACCAACACACTGACTCTGTTCAAGTATACAAAGTGATTCTTAATTTGTTGAAAACATACTAGGTACAACAGTTATTACTCTGAACTGAAAAAAAAAAACTCTAGTTAACTTGTGAACAGAAATTAAATTGGTATCCTGCATAATGTTTTCTACATTGATCACTGTGTTTATTATATTATATATAGAATTTAATGTACTCTTGATTAAATTGGCAATTTCTGCAAAATGTCGATCAGAACTCAAAGCTTAACCCCAGTAAATGATTACTCTAATCAGTTAATAAACAGGATTGTACTGAATTTTGAATGTTTTTTTTGGTATACATTTACAGTAAATAAACTGAGTACAAACTTAAAGGTATCTACTCATTTTGAAACACAACAACGTTAAGTTGATGTTATATGTTTTAATATCTGAACTGCACAATTGGTCTTGAGGTTAGAAATGGACAGCTGACTAGATCTAATGAAAAATTCATTTCCTTCCAGGCATTGATTATGGATTAAAAAAAAAAATGGAACTAATATGCTAAATACGCTAACTTATACATGTAGCACTTTGAAAAATACAACTACACATAAATACATTGTATGTCATATGACCACACAAACAGTATTAATTTGTGGAAATGTACTGAAGAAAAGATAACTACGTCTACATACAAGGACCGAGGAAAGAGTGGTCCTAAATGCCCATTATATTGTCTATATATTTGTATAATATACTGAGAAATTCCTGAATAATACCATTATACTTCACCCTTAACACCTACAAACATACAGACAATCGATAAAAACATAAAAATATTCTTAATTAAGATTTTCTATATAACTTATTTAAATTAAAGAGTAATTACTGAAAAATCCAAAATTGAAAAATGTATATTTACAGATAACTGTATAATTGTATATCTCAGAAACAAAATGTACACCCAAGTGAAAAATCAGACAAATTCAGCAACACGTGGGATATCTTAATACACTGAATTAATGCGCTATCATGTAATATTGTATAGGGGTCTATGTATCAAGTCAAATTATTTGATTAGCCAATCATTTAAGTAGAGAATTACCATCAGATCCTACTTCACATACAGATGTATGCTTAATATCATATTAATGTAATTTCTCTGAAAAAAAAGAATAGTCCACATTGGAACACTTAAATTGCATTAAAAAATTACAGATAAATCATACAGATGTAAATTTGACATCAACACCACTTAATAAATCTCATTCTTGTGCAAGAATTAAAGAAAGGCGTATATAAAGTTTACAAGGAATGCTGATCACATGCTACATAATCAGTTTGTAAAAATAAATATCTAATCTCACACAACCTGTTTTTAATGAATATCAATACATAATGCCTTTTGTTCTTGTAAACAGACCAACAAATTGAGACTTCATTATACAGGAGTACTACATAAGGCACAATAATTCAAAACTTTCATCTGCAGAAAATCAAGTCTAACGAAACTGAATACATGTACATTGTAATGGCACAATATTCAGAAAAAAAAAATGAAAAGTACAAGACTTAAAAAAATATACTTTTTGTTCATCATGTCAAAACTTCTTAAGTACATGACTTTGTATTCTTAATAATATCAAAGATTTTTAGTCCATAAAGTGCCTTGGTCATTTTTAACCTGTGACAATACCTCATGTTTTTAACTTTCAATGTCATTTTTAAAAATACACAGTAAAAAACATGGTCAAACAATAAATATAATAAATATCATAAAAATAAAACAATATACATGGATATGGAATGGATATGTACACAATATTGACAGCACCAACAATTCTGATAGAATAAACCATAAATACACAACCTCATCATGTAATATCACTACCGCAATAAAAATAGAAGCTTAGCATATTAACGGTTAAAAACATTGAATTTATATCAAATGTGAAAAAAAAAATAGAAAACACATATATACTGGCAGTTTATAATGGAATGTGGTGGGATTATGCAGTATAAGAAATATGAAAAAAAGTCTGATATTAGTGGGCCCACACAAAAAAATTCGTTGTAATCTACATAGGGAGTTAACTGCAAAGTTGTACTCTACAAAAAGGGAGTTAACTGCAATGTTGTAATATACATAAAGGGAGTTAACTGCAATGTGTAAATTTAAAATGTTTTCAAAATGTAATACACCTTGTAAAGAGAAAATACTCAGTTTCCAAACAATAAATCCTGTAGGAATTAGGACATATACATCAGATGACATGGCGGCCCTTACAGGGAAACACCAGGATGGTTTGGCAGTGAGGTCCTCTCAGGGGATTTCTACATTGATGCCTTCATCATCAGCTAAAATAAATGTCAGTGTAAATCAATGTAAGTTAAAGTAGGAATAACTACATGTATGTTTTTAATAGAAGTGTAAAACAGAAAATATATAGATGTACATAAAAATGTATTCATATATTTCTCATAAAAGTAAACAAAGCATTTATATGTATATGTAATATAAATTTCTATGTAATAAATTGCTCTTGCTTTTTGTTTTAATTATACAAAGAAATTGATGTGCGTTCTCTCATTCAAAGATTGATAAACAGTACAAAGACATGTCCCTTTGTTCCTACCATCAAATGCTGCATTAGCTATCCCTACATTCTGATACATATGTTCCTCTTCCCTGCCCTCTAACACACACAGTAGACACTGGTGTATACACACGTACTGTTGCTGTAAAGGAAATAAAAATAGTTTAGAATAAGGTATAAAGCATACTGTACTTCTAAGAAAATTCTGCAACAATCCAGGAAGTACTCTATAAAATAGTGAGATTTTTTTTGTAACAAAACTGCTGGAAATTACCCTCACCCTACCCTTTTCCAATTCTTTTTTTTTTAATTTGCAAATACATAAAACAATGGTAGTGACCTGTTTTATATTTGCATAAGTGACATTTTACTATTCCATAGCTAAATCATATGAATTAACAAAATTTTAAATCAGCTCATACTTAATGTAAGCAAACAATCTGAGCCATAAAACATATTTAAATGATGTCAGCATATCCAAAAATACAATAATTTTTTATTTTGTATTGAATATTACACTGTACAAAACATTAATGAAATATGTGCATTTACTAAACTACTAAAATGTTTTAATTATGGGTATATTGAAGCAAAGTCAGCTTTTCCAGGTTAATTTGTTGAATATAAAGTTTATAATTTTATGTGATTTGAACTCTCTGTGTTGAGTGTAGCCCCTAGCTGACATACCTCTGTCTGTACCATCCAGACTCGTTCCTTCCTCAGGTCGTGTACAATGGAGAAGATGTCAACCATATCACGCTCTTTAATTTCCTGTAGAAGGCGATCCAACACAATAAAGGTGCCAGATCTCCCAACTCCAGCACTGTTAACAATCATCACAAATAATGGAGGAATTACAAATCCATAAGGCCTTACTTTAATTCCAAAATTTCAAAATGCTTTCTCACAGACACTATATTGAAAGCTTAACTCACCTACAATGAACCAGAATGGGGCCACATTCTCTAATCATCTGATCTCTAACAATGCGTACAAACTTAATCAAAGTTGGAGGCTTTTCTGGTACCCCGAAGTCTGGCCAAGCAGTGAAATGAAAGTGCCTGATGGGTCGAGTGACGTTACCCTTTTGAAACATGAATGAAAACATAAATACAGCTGTAGCAGCCAAAAAGTAACAAGACATGTTTGTGAAACACTTATGCCCCTCCCCCACTTTGGACAAATTCATTTCAGTTTGTGCAACCTCTGCAAAGAAAATGAACAGAACTGCAAATAATGAATTTTTCCAAGTCCAAGTCGCATAACTCTGTCAAAAATTGCTTGATTGTACCCAAAACAGAACCTGACCTAGATATTCTTACGATAAATCTGTATACCAAATTTCATTTCAGTATGTGCAACCTCTGGGAAGAAAATGAACGGAAACTGTTGGTAGACTTACAGACAGACAGACTGAACGACTGACAGACAGACAGCAGCAAAGCAATATTCCCTCCCTTCTTCAAAGGGGGGAATAAAAATTTTAAAAAACAAAATGGCTGTTGAACTTACATAAGCTACCCTCATTTCTGTGATGGTCCAGGAGGGGAAGCGTGTCTCTGAGAGAACAGCCACTTGTAAATCTCCATAAAACATGGCATCTGAATTAGTAGGCCAGTAGTGGTCACATTTCTCCTACAAAACAAACAAGTCACTAGGGCTACATTAAATAGTCATGACCAGTCGCTAATTAAAGACATCTTTCAGCAAAGAACGCTTACCCTGCCTTTTTCTGTACAGCGAGTCAACATGACAATATTACGGATGTTTTGCTCCCAGATCATTCTCCAGAAATCATCCCTGGTGGAAGGTAGTGGCCCCTGTGTCACGATGTATTCCCTCTTGGATGTAAATCCCTTCAAGAACAGTTATTATAGATTATTTCAGAATCTACAGTTGTACTTTTCTTTGAGATCTAGATGTGCAGTTAGTAAGACATTGCTAATTCATTTACATTTAGCTGGGTATAAATTTCAAGATTCAGGATACAAATGTATTTTTAATAAGGAGGAAGGATATTTTCCTCTCATGTATAAATTATGTATAACACCCATCATACTGGCATGTAGTTAGCATTGATGTAGTCTGATCCTTCTTCATCGTCTGTGGGGAGGAGTTTGACACGGGAATGGTCGTAAGGTAAAATATTGGTAAAACGATTCTTCCCCCGATTGACTGGGAGCTCTGCTGCAGAACAGGACTGATCTCTTCCTACTTCCTTCAGATCCTGTCAAATTAATCACATTCTAATTACTTATGATCTAAACATGGACTTCCCATACAATTATGAGTAAGGGAAGATAACTCTGCTACATACAAACCTCAAATTGTTCAGCATATTTAAAATTTGAGTCCATATTATTATGAGTAAGGGAAGATAACTCTGCTACATACAAACCTCAAATTGTTCAGCAAATTTAAAATTTGAGTCCATACAATTATGAGTAAGGGAAGATAACTCTACTACATACAAACCTCAAATTGTTCAGCATATTTAAAATCCGAGTCAGCTGACAATGTCTTAATGTACTCCTTGAAGTCTGCCACCTTGAACTCATGACTGCAACAAAGTAAAAGGAATAAGTTAAAACATTGAAAATCCCTTTCTGTACCTTTTAATCAAAGTACTTTAAAGTAAATGTCCAGTATATTCAAATTCTTTTTATAAAAATATGATTAGCACTAACATGTATTTACAGGAACTTGATTATTTCAAAGAGACAATATCTATATTAAACTGAAATATGAAGAAAAACAGATTCATTTGAATGGAAACCTTTTCTTGTGTCGACTGAAGCTTGTTCTGGGAGAATGACCTGGTGGTCCCTCTGGGCTCTTTTTCTGTAACCGACTTCGGAAGAAGAAGATGGCAATGATGAAGACGATGACAAAGACAGAACAGACGACTGCTGCGACGATTGCTCCCACATTGGCTTCATCATCTGCGACAGGGACTATCCCTACAGCAGCAATAGGTCAACAATTTGATATTTTATAAATTTTTATATTTTGAAACCACTACCCCCTTCTACTCACGGAAGACTTTAATCCTTTAAACAATGAACAAAACATTTTTTTTACAATAAATTAACACTCTGGAAAAAACTGGTAACAGTGTGAAAAGGTGACTACTGTACTACGTGAAGTTTTACCAGTGCTGACAATGTTAAAAGATGACTACTGTACTACATGACTTTTTACCAGTGGTGACAATGTTAAAAGATGACTGCTGTACTACATGACATTTTACCCATGCTGACAATGTTAAAAGATGATTACAGTAATACAGGAACATTTTTTACCAGTGGTGACAATGTGAAAAGGTGACTGACTGAACTACATGATTTTTTTACCAGTGGTGACAATGTTAAAGGATGACTAATATACTACATGACTTTTTACCAGTGCTGACAATGTTAAAAGATGACTACTGTACTACATGATTTTTTACCTGTGGTGATAGGATCTGAATAAGCAGTGTCAGCGTATCCCCCCGCTGTGTAAGCCCGCAGTCTGATGTAGTACTTAGTGTTCTGTTTGAGTGGACCATTACAGTACAACACATTATTACAATCTGCCTCCACACCAATCTCAAACACTTTAAAATTCTTCTCCCCCACACTCCGCCTGGACCGAGCTCGACCGCAGGAAGACGTCAACTGGAAGAAGTCGGAGCAGTTCCGAATAGTCTGGTAGGCTTTGATGTTGGGGTTGATCTGGGCAGCCTTCCAGTCGGGCAGGGTGCTGGTTTTGATGTGCTCCTCATCAGGGTCTGTGGCTATAATGACTGTGTAGGCCTGTATACTGCCGTACTTATCAGAGAAGGCATTTGTAAAGTTGGCCGTAATGGTGGAGGGGGTCACAGTTTGACCTCCTGAGGTCAGCTGCTTTGGTTTTGTTTGACTCAAGGTCAGGCTGTCTTTGATAGGAGGATCTAAAAATTGCAAATAAGCACTTATTTCTATCTCACTAGATAACATAATCAAGAATCAATTATAAATCTTTCACAGATTCAATAAGGTAGTGTTTTCATGTGTGACTGTGAGTTTGATATTCATACACCCATGTATCTATGCATAAAGACAACATTGGAAATTCTCGGAGGGTCACAGATAAGTTGACTTACTGTAGGTGCGTAGAACAATTTCAAACTTCTCTGGAATATTTTCTATTACAGTTCTAGCTGACACCTGCAACAAAGTTAGTGTTTGTATGATTTCAAAAATATTTAAGTCAAATTTTTAGATGCAGTTACTTCATTTCAATTAAAATTCAAATCACAGAACTTACTTTGAATGTATATTTGAGTCCAGCCTTAAGGTCTGTGAATTTCTCCCTGATAAGCTGAGCAGCCATAAGTTCTGTGGTCACTCCAATGTCCTTCTCACCCTGGTCCATAATGTGCCCCTAAAACAATCACTGAGTCATAACATTATCTTCTCTAGTATAGCATCTCTGTACAATTGTAATTAACCTTTTAATTATGTATTAAAACAGTCAAACAAACTTTCTAAGACATAATCACTCACAAACTCATCCTCTGCAGTGTATGCTATGTGATAAGAACGGATGATTCCATTAGGATTTCTAGGGGGTGACCAGCTCACATTTACAGTCCTTGGTGAAATCTCAACCACATTCAAGTTCTGCACAGCAGAGGGTGCTAAAAATAGACACAAGTTGAATTGATTTCAAACTTTCAAAGCACAGTAAAATAAATTTTCACTAACAAGTACTATACATCAAAAGACATAAAACAAGAGGCCCAAGGGCCTTAACGGTCACCTGAGTATAATGTAACAATCCATAGATTAAAACAGAATAAGCAGATAAATAAAGTTATGTTGCCCAAAAAGCAAGAGAAATAGGATAATCAGGGATCAGCAAAATAACAATTTTGTACTCAATAATAAATCTTAAAAGTTGATCTATTTATTTGCCTGTAGTTTCCCCTTTGTCACTATCCTCATGCGGACTTGACAAAACACTATCAGTTAACACATTTCATTCCCCCTCACATTGGCTTTTCTCACTCTTTAAAAATCATTTATTGTACAAAGATATGGTATTTTTGTACCATTTTCATTTATCTATTATTTAACACTTTTTCTGACCATTAAAAACTATGAAAGTACTTTTGTATTAAATATTTTGAGAATTTCTGTTCTTTAATTGATCTTTTAAGTTACATTATTTACACTGATTAACTATTATAGGTGGATAGCAAAGGGGAATAACTTCTTTGAGTAGAAATTAATAAATTGACCAAAAGGTACAGAATTTCAACATCTGATAAAAACATCCCTGCTTATTACAACTTTTTATACTCTTTTTACCTCCTAGATGTCCAGGAGCAGAGAAGAAGATATTCAAGGAAATAATCCATTTTCACTATAGATTCAATATAGCCCCACTCTAAAACCAAAGCCCCTGACCCAGGGGCAATGATAATCACGACACCATTTCTACAGAGCTGCCCTTGCTCATCATAACTATATACTTGGTTTATCTGCTAAATACCCAGGGACAGAGAATTAGATTTCAAAGAAATAATGCACTTTCACTATATAATCAATTGAGCCCCACCCTAACACCAGAACCCCTGATCCAGGGGCCATGAAATTCACAATTTTGAAAAAAGAATCAATGCTTATCATAACCAAGGACTTAGTTTGTTTAAATAATACCCAGGAGCAGAGAAGAAGATTTTCAAAGAATTAATGCATTTTCACTATATAATCAATAGAGCCTCACCTTAACACCAGAACCTCTGAACCAGGGGTCATGAAATTCACAATTTTGGAAAAAGAATCAATGCTTATATTTACCATGCGCTTAGTTTGTTTAAGTAATACCAAGGAGGAGAGAAGATTTTCAATGAATTAAGGCATTTTCACTAAATGATCTATCTAGCCCCACCCTAGCACCAGAACCCCTGACCCTGGGGCCATGAATTTCACAATTTTGGTAGAGGGCCAAATGTTTATTACAATCTTGCCAACAGTTTGACTGCTTGATGTCCAGGAGTAAAGAAGAGGATTTTTAAAGATTGCATCAATTTGGTGATTTTAACCCCATCCCTAGGGCCGTAGGGTGACAGGGACCATGAAATTCACAATTTTTGTTCCCCTTCACCCAAACATGCTATATGCCAATATTGGTTGAAATTGGTTTAGTGGTTCTAGAGAAGAAGTTGAAAGTGTTCAAAAGTTAGGTGACCTAAAAATTTGTCAATTTCTAAATCAATCATATCCATTTCACCTTGACTTTCAACCAATAGAATTAAAGATTGACATTGAAATCTGTAATCTGATTGGCTGACCTGATTCTTCTGTCCTGGAGGAGATAAAGAGGGAGCTGTGTTTATCCCCAGCAATGGCTTCAATTTCAAACTGATAATCTGTGTATGGATTTAGGGGACCGAACTCTAGCACAACTGTTGTCTGGTTCGCTGGTCTTGTTTGGGATCCACAACTTTTGGAACACGTTACACGGTACGAATCAACATTTCCATTTGGTTTATGGATGGTCAACTTAATATAGTTAGCTGATTTCTCTCTTCCAACATATGGTAGGTCAGGCACTGAAAAATGAAAAAAAAAATACACATAAATAAATTGATCGAAATAAAGAATTATATAGACATCAATTCCATTCCATTTGGTAATAAATAAAACTGATAGCACATATGACTTACCAGTACGTATCTGTATAAAAGTGGGAGGACTGGACTGATCCCCACTGACAGCAGTCACCTTGATACTGTACTGGGTCCCTCCCTCTAGACCTGAGAACACCACACTGCGATCTGAGTCAGTTCTGTTCTTCTTCACTATTGATGACGTGGCCACCAGCTCAAACACATAATACTCAAAGTAGTTGTCAGTGTCAGTGATATTTTACTTCCAACATTTCCCTCAGACAAAACTGTCTTTATTTCTGGTTTTGAAATAATTATAGTATAATACTGAATCTAATTCTAATGCATCAAACATTTTTTCTGCAGAGGTACATTAAACTAAATGAAATGTAGGTTCATGCAATTTTTTTTTACAATATACTTACGGACAGAGACATTCAAATTCACAGACTTGGAGACAGACTTTTGCACAATACTGTAGATAGTGATATTATAGGTGTGTCCAGAAGTGAGTCCAGTAATATTGTATCTAACAGAGTTGTCTGATGAGTTGGCCTGGATATTAACTGTGTTAGATACACTGTCTATCAGACTGACGTAGGTGAGATTCCAGCTCTCTACGTAAGTTGTGTTACTGTTGTACGTCCACTTGAGAGAGAGGCTGTTATTAATGACAGATGTTACTTCTATACTGCTAGGAAGAAAGGGGAGCTGAAAACATTAATATTATATGTTTATACTGTTAACTACTTCATGTACTTGTGACTTAACGAGGCCGAGTCGAATTCGAGTGCGCATGACTTTGCGCAGCTTTTTCGTTTCATGCATTCGTAGGTGCAACATAACACTTATCCTAAGTATTGTAATTTTGATACAAAATTGACATTATATTACATTATCTGTAATGTTTATGAGTCTGAAAATTGATTTTAAGACAATGATTAGAAATAAATGCTGGAATGGCTTTCTTGAAGTCAGTGTTTTCCAGTTCTCTAGGCAATGCATGACGCTGAAGAATGACGCATGACTCGCTTGAGTTTTCAAGACGTCCATGGACATTTTATCAAAAACTGTTGACAGAACATCAAAAGAAATATACCAGCAATCTAAACATTGTTTTTTTTTTTACCAGAATAATTTATCTGCACCGTTATATACAAAATGTATGCCGCAATATGGCAAATTAAGAGATATTGGGCATTGGGAAAAAAAATTTTTTTTTACTAATTCCTAGACCAAACCAGATGGTTAACTGTTTTGAAATTTCACAATTTGGTGACTTTTTACAATAACTTTCATGTATTTGACTGAAAAGGAGATCCTTAGGGCAGAAATACAAAAAATATGGGGAAAATATGATAATTTGGCACTTTTCCAACAAATTCCCATAGGGTTCAATAGTAAAATTTGACAACTTTTGAGATGGCCCCCTAAGAAATCGGGATGGTAAACATTTGATTTTTTTTTTATCTGAAAATAATTAATAGTAAAAATTCATTCAAGAAAATTTATCAAAACATCTAGGGTAGAAACAATTAGACTCGGACTCATTAACTTTAAATTTGCCTCTAAGAACTTCATCACAAACAGCATATAAAAAAGTCAGCCATATGATATAAAAAATCTATTGAAAATCTAGTATGGGGCTTGTGGACTGACTGGAATTTCATAATAAATTACCATGTACATATCTAATAACAGTGTACTGTAGATGTACTTTTTTCTGCATTGGATTATTTATGCCATGTATGTGGTGACAAATTTTTCACAGAAATTTATCACAGCATACTAAAAGTGCATTAAAGACATGCAAAGGCAATCCAAGAAATCAGCATAATTTTCAACGCATGGCTTTTACAGATATTTTGATTTCACAGATTCATGACCCTGTGGAAAAAAAGTATGTTACAAGATTTCTACCATTTACATATGTGCTTACACATTAGTGCAGACACAACTGAGGGTGGACTCATCTCACAATGGCTGAGAGCAAACACCACCATCTCATACAAGAGTCCAGGGAACAGGGAAGAGAGAACGATTTGTGTATTGTCGCTGATGTTTTTCTTCCATTGGCTGTAGTCACCATGGAGACGGGCACGGTACCAGACAAAGTAACTATCCTGTATGCTGTCATTGCCTGGCAACCATGTCAGGGTGATGTCATTATGGGATGAGCTGTACGTTAAATCCACTACCTTGCTGGGCTCTACAATACCAAACATAACAGATCACTAATACTTCTTACTACTCCTTTTTTCCCCTTTTCTTACATTTATAACATTATCATACACTAAAATTTCCACACGTCCCCTTACTTGTTGTTTTATTGACACTCTGCCAGGAGCAGTAGGCTACAAGAGAGCTGTTCCCCGCATCTATGACCTGTTTTGCCTGAACGTACACAGAGTAATGGTGACCCGGCCTCAGATTTAGGATGTGTGTCTCGTACTTAAACTTATCATGGAGAGCAAGTGCCATGGGCAAAGATGTATTGCCACTGTCCAACAAGTCATGGTACTGAAGCTTTAAGTACAAACATTACTTTGTAAAGTGTCAGCATTTAATACTTTATTGCAAAAGAATTCTTTCGAATGCACATAATCTTTATGCAGAATGAGTATAACTATACATATACATGTAGCTCTATGATGAGCTGAAGAAAACATTTTCTATTAAGAAACTTACATAATCTTTCTCTTACAAAAGCATATGGACAGTTTTTTACTTACAATGAAGTGGTGTTGTTATTTGGGGTCAACTGTTCTCCACTCCACATTGAAAGTGTGGAGGTCACCTGAGGTCACATTTAAATCTTCCACAGGCATTGGCTTTAAAAATATAGTCAGGGATATATTAAATAGTATATGTAGATGGAATAGCATGTAAAATTAAGATTATAACTGCACTTTAGATAATCTCATGTATTTTCTGCATTACCTGTGATAACATGAACACTGGCCTGGTCACTCTGAATGCCCTTGTTGACTGTGGTGATGGAAATCTTGTACAGCTGACCAGGGGTCAGGTACGTTAGTGAAGGTGTACTGTAAAATGTCACTGGATCTGGGAAAGATAAAGACAAGATACTTTTTATATATATGTAATTTTTTATGGTTGTGTGAAGCAACAAGTACATGTCATATACGGTACCAATTTTGATGCACCAAATGTGCATTTTGACAAAAGTCTGTATACTCACTCTAGGATGGAAATAGGGGACTGTGCATGAGGGGGATCTATAGCAATCTGGAAGGTGTCAAATGTACTACCATTAGGTCTGGGCCAGGAAATATTAACTGTGTTAGTTCCTACATGATCCACATACAACTCAGCCACAGAGCTGGGGTCTGAAAAACCAAAAAAAATGTATACATCTATGTAAAAATGCAAATTTTTATAGGTAGGTAACTCTACATTATCTTTTAGTCCCATTACCTAAATTCCTCATTGGTGCAGTCTGATGTCATTCATGTGACTTTGATCTGTAAGTACTTACTCATGGCTGACTGGGTTACCTCTGAACCTCATCATGTGACTTTGAACTGACAGTATTTAGTACTTGTCATGGCTGACTGAATGACTTCTCAACCTAATCATGTGACTTTGATCAGAGAGTACTTACTTGTCATGGCTGACTGGGTAACCTCTGAACTCATCATGTTGGCTACATGTGATCTGATATGAACTGTGTAGGTCTCCCCTGGGTGTAGGGAGGTAAACCTGTGGTAGCTGATGTATACTTTCTCTGTTACATTTATCGGGTGGGTGTGGTCTGCTGTCAGGTACAGATTGTAGTAATCCACAATTCCATCAGATGGTGGTGACCAATCAACATCCAGTTCTCTACCGCTGATAGGAGTTATGTTCACCATCTCTGGTGGATTTGCAACTATATGTGGGGAAAAAAAAGACATACATGTACATTTATTAGGTTTGCAAAACTGGTCCTTGTAAGTGTTTACACTGTCCTTTTTTCAATCAATTACATATATATCCATTGCTCTACTGGAAAAAAAAGATAGACTATAATATATCCGCCGTACAGATGCAACAAAATTGAGACCTGATGCAACATATAAACAAGCAATCCAGTGACTAATTGTCATTATTGTAAAATATTTAATCTATAAAAACCTTCGGAATGCTTCAATCTGTTTTGTGTTACTTTATTTAGATAAAAACAATTGATGATAACTACCATAATTTTCTCGAACCTTGGTATTCTGTAATAGAACTGTCTGAAAAGTACCCTTATTTTTAATAATATATTTTTTATGTTTTCTATGTTGCTGCAACCAAAAAATTTGATAACTTTATTGGTCTATTTGGAGTCAGATTTGTACTTACCTGTGAGTAATTCTGCTGTACGTGATCTGGGGACTCAGTTTTTTCTGTTTGGCAGCTCGGACTACAGTGTAATTCTTACCAGGGACAAGGTTATCGAAGGTCACTTGCCTGATCTGAAGGTTATCTTGCTCACTGCAAATATAAAACACTTTACGGACCACTGCAGACTAAAGTACATCTCTAAGTAAATATTCTGTATGTGCCTGTTACTAACCCATGCACCAGGTACATCTAATTTTAATTTACAAAACTTTCCACAATGAAAAGTATGCATCTGCACACAAGTACACTGTATAAGTATAGCAAAGGTCAGCTGATTAAAGTCCATTGCGCTATTCAGTCTAGATATGCAACAAAAGACAAGTCAATTCATAGACCACTGCTCAATTATTTGTATGTACATTCAGTCCTAATTCCATTAAATTTATTTATTTAGTATTTTAACTTTCAGAGATACAAACACTGGAGATTGTGTGTTGGTTTCCCTGTGAGATATGCTACACTGATAGTAATCCAGGCCTCCAGAGGTCACTGGCATCCAGGTGAAGGTCACACTGGAGTTGGTGACCTCTTTTATCTGCAAATGTTCTGGACTGTAAGGGTCTGAAATCAAGGGAAAAAATAAAGCTATGCATGTGTTATTCAGTAAAAGAGTGCAGGTAAATGTAAAACAAATTGTCCACAATCAAAATTGTGACAAAATATCTTCAACAAAAAATTATTACTGCATATATGTAAAAAATTCTGTGGAATATATATCACTTTCTTCCCAGATTGTTCTAGTTGTAACAAAGAAATTATACAAGGTGCCGGCTGTAAGATTCCACAAGAATATGTCCGTCTCGTCATGACTTAGCGAGATGTTTTGATCAAACAGAAGCTCAGATCCATTCTCCTTGAACACCTCTATGTTGTATAGGTTGAAGTAAGAGTAAGTAGGGGGGAGGATCGTAAGGTGTAGATGAGAGGTGGAGCTGGAGTTGTCCAACAGACCCAGGACTGTCTGAGGCTCTGCAATTATAGTCATAACATGTAGTAGAAAACAGTGATACAATGCAATATGTGTAGTTATACAATCCAGGTTCCAGCTGCACAAAACACCTGACATTTATTTTCCAGCTAACACTATGTTAAAAAATTAATGAAAATTTAAAGTTGCAAGCCTACATGTGACTCAGTACTAAGTACACAAGATAAACTTTTCTCCCCCCAAAAGTTGAATCCTGCTTGTGGAGTTTAGTGTGCTGTGAGGGGCACTCTGTCTCAGTCCTTCAGTGGTGTAGGCCTGGATCAGTAACTTCTAACCAGGAATCCATGCAACATCCACCAGAGAGAGGTGGATCAACATTCTACAGGTGAGCTTCTCTGTCTGCTGGGCATTATTAGTGTCTTTGTAAGTGGCAGTCAGGAAAATGTCATCCTGTAATGTAATGAAATATTGTGAGACATGTAATAATGGCAGTCCATATGATTATGCCAGTTCTGTATACATTATATATATATATATATCAAATAGGGATGTCAGATCACTCTGACAATATTTGAAAATTGGTTAATGTTACTTGACGGATTTTCTGATGGAGTAAACGGGCACTCGGTAATACTGTAAATACAAGTGTGTTAATTTTCTTGAGCCCAGTTAAGCCAGGCTGTTAGACCCCTAAGATGTTTTTCTATTATATTTATTATGCATATATATAAACATTGAGTCCAACGTAAACAATTTTTTTTGTACTAAATTTATTCATCAAATAAACACAAAAAACATCAATTAATACACCAATAATTACGAAAGATTTACAGTTCTTCTTTAGGAAGACGATTTGAACAAAATGAGTCAGACAATCTGTAATGCAGCTTTGTAGTGATTGTTTCCCCTGTGTACAATAAATTTTCTCTGCACAGCTGACTTTTTACATTTTTTTGCATTATTTCTAAATATTTCTTCACTTCTGAATTGGGTACCAGCATTTCTATGCATGTTTGCTACCGTATACTTACTAAATAATTTAAACACAGGTAATCAAAGATTACGAAGCTCACCTCGACGAATGTTATCAGTAAAAGTAATGCAAATCTCACATCATATTTTCTTTATAGTTAGTGTGCATCCTGAAAACAATATTCATGCAGGTACTGTGTAAGTAGGTCTTATAGTTCGTTGGGAATTGACCTGTTCCAAAAACTTTAACCTGTTCACTAATCAAGAAAATGTCTTTCATTTTCTACATCCAAAGCAAGTCTGGAATGCACCATCTATGCAAGTTAAATCATAACAGGCCATATACATTTATAGAGCTACTCCAAACACATTGTCATGGTTACTCATTTGGAAAATGTAGGTCAGATCCAGCATCTGAAGCAAGTCTGGTAGTGCCCATCCCTAGATACATCATCCATGCAAGTTTGGTCCAGGTAGGGCTTATAGATACTTGGGAATGGACCTGCTCCAAAAACTTTAACCTGGTCACTCATCTGGAAAATGTAGATCAGATCCAGCATCTGAAGCAAGTCTGGCAGTGTCCATCCTTTAGATGCATCATCCATGCAAGTTTAGTCCAGGTAGGGCTTATAGTTACTTGGGAATGGACTTGCTCCAAAAACTTTAACCGGGATGCCAACGCTAACGCCGATGCCAACGCCATGGGTGTAGCATAAGCTCATCTCGACTTCGTCGAGGTGAGCAAAAACTGATTTAAGATAATGGACGACTGACTGGCACATTTACACGATGTTCATTGAAAACAAATTATTGAAGTCAGGCATCCAAAAATAAAGGGACAGTATATCTGACAACAATGTAAAATGTTGCTTATGTGCCCTGATTTCTACAGTTTTCAAGGGTACTTACGCAATTATTACCGAAACAACTGAGGGCGGACTCATCTCAGAATGACTGACAACAAACACCACCATCTCATACAAGAGTCCAGGGAACAGGGAAGAGAGAACGATTTGTGTATTGTCACTGATGTTTTTCTTCCATTGACTATAATCACCATGGAGACAGGCAAGGTACATTAGACAAAGTAACTATCCTGTACAGTCACTGCCCAGCAACCATGTCAGAGTGATGTCATTATGGGAAGTCGTGTATGTCAAATCCACCTTGCTGGGTTCTACAATTGCACATCAAACATTACAGACTGCAAAATCTTCTTACTACAATTCCACCCTAACCCCCCCCCCTCTCTCTCTCTTACATTTATTAGCTAAAATGTATCAAGTCCGTCCACTAACTTAAAGCCTTGTTGACACTCTGCCAGGACCTGTAAGCTACAAGAGAGGCATTTCCTGCATCCACAACCAGTTTAGCCTGGACATACATGGAGTATGACATAGTATCATACTATGTCATACTCCATGTATGTCCAGGCTAAACTGGCTGTGGATGCAGGAAATGCCTCTCTTGTAGCTTACAGGTCCTGGTAGAGTGTCAACAAGGCTTTAAGTCATAACGATCTAAGCCTATAGGTTTTGTGGAATCAGTCATGCACAACGCTTTCCAAATATTTTACAGTTATAAAACTTAAAAATCAAAAGTAGACATTAAAATTCGTAAACTTTACTTACAAAGTTTAAATTAAACTCTGAAGACAAACAGAATCGAGAATGTTTATAAAATTTCGGGAAAATTTAGTTACCTTCCTTGACTAAAGAGTTCCGCAAAGGGAAAATAATTCATAAGCGGAAAAAATAATAAAAGTAGAACAAATCCTAAAACACTATTTCCTTATCAATTCAATAAATAAATGATTTTTATTAAGTTATCTATTTTAAGCATTATTTGATCAAATTGACATTTTAAAAAAAATCAAATATTCATGCTCAGAAGTATATGTACACTAATATGGGAACAGACCATAGACACTTGTTTCTGTAATAAATTTTTAACTCATAGTATAATAACAAGTTGCTGTCCTTTAAAAAAAGGCCTGCAATACGTGGACCATATGCATGTGTTTCTAACCGAAATCCAAGGAAAATTTCTACATTTGTGAATATACATGTAGGTGTGAATATTTTTTTTTAAATCTTGAAATGTAAATTTTTCATCGCTATTTCACTCTATAATTGCTAATTAAGCTGTTATAAAAAAAAAAAAATATGGCCTTAATATGAAATGTTGATCTAGGTTTCTATCACAATTGTTATATATCCTTTAAAATTAACCAAAGGATACTTTAGCGTGCATGTATCATAATACATGTAATTGAGTTTTGACTCCATTGGTGTATCCAGAAGGGGGGGGGGGGGTACGGGAGTTGGAACCCTTCTTTATTTTTGCAGAGAGAAAAAGGAGACGTTTTTTCTGTAATTTAGATATTTTTACGTCTTATATATGAATAAATTTGAATAGTTCAATCTTTGCCCTTTCTGCTCGCTAGATATAGTTTCGCGTATTTGTTTTCCTCCGTGTACTTTCACAACCATGACAACCCCGGCCCCGAGCCCCGACCACCCACAACTAACATGACAATTTTCAGTTTGATATCATCGGAAGATTCTGACGAACTTAAGCTATGCCGTTTTTGGACCATCTTCTTAAGTAACCAACTTTAACAAGTATGCATAAAAAATCATGAAAGGAAGTATGCATAAAAGAATATTTCTCTCCTTATATTAGGAACCGGGAGGGGCACAGGGGGCGTGCCCCCATTAATTTTGCCGATGTATAGAATACTATAGAAAACATAGCTTATAAATGCTTGTGCCCCCTCAATGAAAATGTCTGAAGCCCCCCCCCCCCTCTTTTTTTTTGTTTTGCTTGTCTGGCTTGATTTTAATCAATGAGAAGAAATGTTTAAAATGTTCCCGTAGTATGCGGATGGAGGGGGGCTCACGTTTTCTGAAAATAATCTTTTGCCATAGTTTTAATATGTAAATTTTGATTTGCATTGAAAATGCAAAAGCTGAACATAAAATAACACGTTCTATCATAATGTCGGAATTGATCTAGTGGTTAAGCAGGTGGGAACTACGAATATATTTACCTGTTAAGGGGTTAGAATCCGATTGGCTCGTATTTTTTTTCATATATAATGGAAGTGCAATGAAATATCTCTTTTGAGAGAGAGAGAGAGGGCTAATGTCAAGAAAGAATAGCTTTTTATTCAGGGTCCACGCAATAACACGTGTTATTATTATACTATGGGTTAAAAATTTATTACCGAAACAAGTGCCTGTGGAACAGACACTGACCTCTAAAAATATAAAATGTGGGATAAGGCTCCGGGCCCATAAAACTTAGACAAGCTCACTTTTGGCCTCAGTTTTACAAAAATAGAATTAAATATTGATTGATATTGAATTTGATAGGAATTGATATTGGATAAGTGAGACTTGTCAGAGATCAAAATTGAGCTCATCTTTTATTAATTAGTTTTATCAAATTATGGCCTCAGATGCAGGTGCCACGAAGCGTGATCCTTATCACAATGGGGCGAACGGAAATATCCATAGACAAGACAATGAGAAAATAATGGCCTAACAATTTGTATGAAAAGCGTTCATCAATATTCGACTTTTAACACGATAGATTATATTTGCTGGCGAGGTCATTGTATCGAGCATAGAGTTTGCGAAATGCTGACTTTAAACAAGGTTGTTGATATCCTTGTTTCATCAACTTAATTGTCAATAGCTTGCCTCCGTCAGGCGTGGATCCAGGTTTTTTTTCTCCGGAGGAGGGGGGGGGGGGGGTTAAAAAACGTTAACTTCTTTCCCAAACTTAAAAAAAAATATTTCCGTTGGATGGGGGCTTTCCTTCACTTCTTTAGTTTCATATGTTTCTACTAAATTAACAGAGTTCTACTTTTTTCAGGGGGATACTTTTTTCTTCAACTTTACTATGAAAAATGATTCCGATAATTACAGGGGGTTCCCGAGTCCATCTCCCCATCCGCGTATGCTCGTTTTAGAAATTGTTCGTATGTTAGCATGTTCTTGCTCTTCAACTGGGAGACATTAACTCCATATGCAGGTGATAATAATATATTGCTACATAAACAAGCATTCTGAGAGTATTGCATTAGCAATACTAGTCCCCTACCGGCAAGTGTAATCTGATTCCCGTTAAGAATTGAAAATGACATAATTCCGTCAAAAATCAATGAAGCGGTCCGAAATGCAAACTTGGTCTATAACTAATCAAGGTAAAGTCACATACCAAAGATCAGCTCAATATCTGAAAGCGTTTAGAAGAAAATTGCGGAAAACCCATAAAAATTGAAAAGGCCGTAATTCCGTCAAAAATCAGTGAAGCGGAACGAAATGCAAATTTGATCTGTAACTCATCAAGATACACTCACATACCAAAATTCAGCTCATTATCTGCAAGCGTTTAGGACAAAAGTGCGGAAAACCAAGTGGGACAGTCTGACAGACAGACAGAGGGACAGACGGACAGACGGACAGACAGACAGACGGACGGACAGTCTCAGAGGAAACCTATAGTCCCCTCCGGTTTCACCGGTAGGGGACTAATAAGGGAAGTTGACGATACGCAGTACAGTTAAGGCAACATTTTCGACAAAAAGGCACCAAAAACGAGATACTTAAACTTCAACCGTCTTATTTTTCAGCATGAAACTCTATCTGAAATATCTTAATGGCTTTATGAAGAGTTTGTCCATCGCTTTTCACATCAGTATTTTTTGTCATCATGTGACCCTCTAAAGTCACGTGAGCTCCGATTTTAGGTCAAAATATGAAATGTCAAATTTAACCAAAAAGTGCAAGGGCAAGGCAAACAATATTTGAACTGCACAAGGTTTCATTGTGTCCCTTGGTATCTATCCTATCGAAAAACTGATGCTCATTCAGTCAGATTTCTGAGATATTTAAGTTATCCATTGAAAACAAACACCAGTAGGCTATTCAAAAATAGAGTATTTTTCAACATTTAATCGGAAATTTTAAATTGCCTAATGAATTACAAAGAAATGAGCATCACTCTTGAAAAACTATACAGTAAAACAAAGAATTTAAAATAAAAACCTACCTCTTGGGTTGTCGCCTTGCCCTTGCACTTTTTGATTAAAAATTGAAATCTTAACACATTCATTCTAAATATAGTTTTCAAACGCATCATTAACCCAGCACGGGAGATAACTCTGTGGTACTTAGTAGAGTTTGTGTACCTCGCAAATTTTAAACAAATACCTACGGACTGCGCTGGGCTTTATTTCACTAAATCAAAACGGTATGCATAAAAAAATCTTTGACTTTACTTTGTTTTGTATGTCTTCGTTCTTTGATACGCTACACAAGACGTATTTGACACCTACCGCATTTCCTCCGTTTGCCTAAAATTTGCCGCAACATGCAACATCCATCATGCAAATAAATTGGAAAATGCCCATGGTTAAAAATATTGAAAGATTCAGTCATTTGTAATAAAAATAAAAAATAGACAGCCCCTATCAATGATTAAACATTTATTCTTCCTCAGTAGACACACAGAAAAAATATCTCCAACAGAACTTAGTAGTTTTTTTTCATGTGTGATTATTTTAGTTATCAAACCTTCAACTGTTTATGGATTCTAGACTACGTTAAAAGTTTTAAGAACAGAAGGAAGGGATTGGGGTGCTTACTCCTGTATTTAATAACCTGTTTTCCTTTCTACAGATCTAACCCCCCCCCCCCCCCCCCCCTCACCAGTTTGCGTCTGGCTCCTTTGATACCATATACTTACTGGCATGTTAAAAATAAATTATTAAACAGTGTTTACATCAGGTTTTACTTATTTGGGTATTGTAGCACAAATCATATCGGCGTAGGGGGGGGGGGGGGGCTTTAGTCTCATGTTTTTGAGTTATTATCAATCAATGCGCAAACAAGATAATCATAGTAAAAACTTTGTAATACAGAAACAGATACTCTGTTAAAGAACAGGTGAACACAATATACATCCTGAAATTTAGATCTTGTTGTACCCCAAAACACAGACAGGCGCATACCAGAATGGAAGTGAAATGTACGCAGAGAACGGCTGGGGTACGCTTTGAGACCCCCAG